CGGTACGTGAAATTCTCCTGGACGTTTGTGTGTGGTTATAGTGGTACAGGACATGTGATGTACGCCTCTTTGGTCGCTCACACATGATCCATTACCAGCATTGGTTACACTTTATTATCAATTAATATTTGTTATGACTTACGCTGGTCTGCGTACCCACCCACTCTACTCTAAAAAGTAGAGACTCTCGCTTGCCATTAATTTATCCGATAGTTTGACTCTCTAGGAGTTTCCCTACTACATGTATTATATGATAATTTATTTTACCAATGCTCTAGACAGCAAGCTGTTTTACAATTATCCTTCTACATGACATTGTATATCTTCTTGACACCATGACTTTCTTTGAAGGTCCTGTAGCTATGAAATGTTATTTGCTGCAGGTCATGTGTGTGTGTGTGTGAGTGTGTGTGTGTGTGTGTGTGTGTGAGTGTGTGTGTGTGTGTGAGTGTGTGTGCATGCGTGAATGTCCCACGCGTGGGACATGTACGTGTTCTGTGCCACACAATTTCACTATCTGTATGACAGCACAGCGGCAGGCACAGCGCGCGAGAGAGAGAGAGAGTTTTAATTATATCTCTGATGTGACTTCTGCAGTACTACATGTACTTGTATGATCGAGCGTACGAGTGTGTGTGTGTGTGTGTGTGTGTGTGTGTGTGTGTGTGTGTGTGTGTGTGTGTGTGTGTGTGTGCGTGTGTGGGTGTATGAATGTCCCACGCATAGGTAAATATACAGCCAAGTCTGTGGTGCCACACAATTTCATTATGTGCAGAACAGTGGGCCGGCACAGAGATAGAGACAGACAGACACAGAAAGACAGAGACAGAAACAAAGGGAGGCGCATAAAGAGCAACAGACAGAGACAGAAACAAAGGGAGGCGCATAAAGAGCAACAGACAGAGACACGAACTCAGAGAGAAAGAGACAAAGACGAACAGACAGACGATCAGACCCAGAAAGACAGAAACAAGAAGAGAGGGACAAACATTAAGAAAAACAGGAGAGACAGACAGACACACAGACTCAGGAGAATAACAGACAGAGATAGATAATGTGTGTGTGTGAATATGTGTGTGTGTGTGTGTGTGTGTGTGTGTGTGTGTGTGTGTGTGTGTGTGTGTGCGCGCGTGTGTTTGGGTGTGAATGTCCCACGCATAGGTAAATGTACAGCCACGTATGTGGTGCCACACGATTTCATTATGCGCAGAACAGTGGCCGGTACAGAGATAGAGACAGACAGACACAGAAAGACAGAGACAGAAACAAAGGGATGCACATAAAGAGCGACAGACAGAGACACGGACTCAGAGAGAAAGAGAAATGTACAGCCACGTGTGTGGTGCCACACAATTTCATTATGCGCAGAACAGCGGCCGGTACAGAGATAGAGACAGACAGACACAGAAAGACAGAGACAGAAACAAAGGGATGCACATAAAGAGCGACAGACAGAGACACGGACTCAGAGAGAAAGAGAAATGTACAGCCACGTGTGTGGTGCCACACGATTTCATTATGCGCAGAACAGCGGCCGGTACAGAGATAGAGACAGACAGACACAGAAAGACAGAGACAGAAACAAAGGGATGCACATAAAGAGCGACAGACAGAGACACAGACTCAGAGAGAAAGAGACAGAGACAAAGACAGACAGACAGACAAAGACGATCAGACCCAGAAAGGCAGAATCAGGAGAAAAACAGACAAAGACAATGTGTGTGTGTGTGTGTGTGTGTGTGTGTGTGTGTGCGTGTGTGCGTGTGTGTGTTTGGGTGTGAATGTCCCACGCATAGGTAAATATTCAGCCACATATGTGGTGCCACACGATTAAATTATGTGCAGAACAGCGGCCGGTACAGAGATAGAGACAGGCAGACACAGAAAGACAGAGACAGAAACAGAGGGATGCGCATAAAGAGCGACAAACAGAGACACGGACTCCAAGAGAAGGAGACAAAGACAGACAGACAAAGACGAACAGACAGACGATTAGATCCAGAAAGACAGAGACAGAAAGAGAGGGACAAACGTTAAGGAAAAACAGGAGAGACAGACAGACACACAGACTCAGGAGAAAAACAGACAGAGACAGACAATCAGACATAGAAAGTCAGAGACAGAAACAGAGAGACGCACAGTCATAATGAATGACAAAAGAAGAGACAGACACAAAGATTCAGAGAAAAATAGCAGCAGAGAGAGGCAGATAAAGAAGAAGACACAGAGACAGAGACAGAGAAAAAGACTGAGAGAGGGACAAAGAGAGACAGAAGAATAGCAGCAGAGAGAGCGAAATAGAGCTATAAATACAGGGACAGGCAGACAGACAAACATACATAAAGAGACAAGCAGAGACAGCCAAACAGATAGACCGAGACAAGGAAACAGTTGGAGAGTTACGCAGATAGAATGACCAAGATTCAGACTTAGAGAAACACATAGACACACACAGAAAGAGAGAGAGAGAGAGAGAGAGAGAGAGAGAGAGAGAGAGGAGAGAGAGAGAGAGAGAGAGAGAGAGAGAGAGAGAGAGAGAGAGAGAGAGAGAGAGAGAGAGAAACATAGAGGCACACAGACAGGCAGACTGACAAAGACAGCCAGAAGGAGAAAAACACACAGACGACAGATAGACAGACGAAAGGCACACAGACAGGCAAACTGACAAAGACAGGTAGAAGGAGAAAGACAGACAGACCGACAGATATATACAGAGAGGGAGAGAGAGAGAGATAGAGAGAGATAAAGAAAGAGAGATAAAGAGAGAGAGATAGAGAGAGGGAGAGAGAGATTGATAGAATATAGAGAGACAGACGGACAAAGAAACATGTCGAGACACACAGATACGAGAGATTTCGTTCCTTGTGTTTCTAATACTGAATTACACAAGAGAGATTGGAAGCTGTGTCACAACTCTTGGGCTTCACATATTACTACGATCATCAGGCAACTACTATAATATAAGTAGGTAGCAGCAGAAAAACATATAGTGAGGTGAACTCATAAAACAGTGAGCCGAAAAAATACGATTAAAAAAGCCGATTCACAAACCAGGTAAAGACAGGAAGAGAGAGAGAGAGAGAGAAAGATATGTGCGCATATACCCTGCACCCATGCACGCGCATACACACTGAAGGGAGTTGATAGGTGGGGAATTAAGTCTGGCTTTGGAAATTTTATTTTTCATTGCAATCATGTTCGGCCTCATTTTCTCTGTGCTGCGCTGATGAGTCCACCAAGGACGAAACAGTTCTGTCCGCAGATTGGGTATAGGTAGATAGAGAGATATAGATGAAGATCGAGAGAGAGAGAGAGAGAGAGAGAGAGAGAGAGAGAGAGAGAGAGAGAGAGAGAGACATAGGCAGCTGTATTGGCGATTATAATCCGATGTATTCTGTGTGGCGTAGACCAGGTGTGCATTGAGAATCATTTCACAAGGCCTCGCAATAATTATATGGAATTGTGCAGTAATGTGGTGCAAGTCTTCATACGTTTCACTCAGGTCATGTCTGATATCGGCATAAGAGAAAATCAGTGGGTGTCCATCCACTTCACTTGCAGACTTGCGTGTTTCTCTTGCGACGGATGCACATGGTACTTAGCTTCTGTGTCAATTGGCTCATTCTGCAGGCGAGTGATCCCTGCCTGAGTTCAATGCCGGAAAAGGTAAGTAGCTCTAGAGTGCAGTATAGAGAACATTATGCCAAATACGCGGTCATTAGGAGAGACTATACCAGCAACTTCCACTCATATACTTGAATATCTAATTGGATCTGTATAGAAGACACTGCTCAGTGGTATTGGAGTTGTGGTTGATCAACAGCGTATCTTTTAGGTCCATTGGTCTTGTTTGAGTGACACTAGCCATGCAACCGGACAATGTTGGTGAACGGCTTAATTACCAAAGAACTTGATTGGTTTGCCATTTAGCTTCCTGTGTGGCGTGATATTGTTTCCGTGGACTGGTTTAGATTCTTGTCCACGTTTCCAGGAGTCTAGCCAATTAATAGCAGCCCAAGCTATTTGAATAGCCGGATTATGTCTTCTTATCTGGCCTGCACTCCATCCGCTTGAATCCGTAAGCAGTGCAAACGCGTTGTCCCTTGCACACTGTGACAGGCATGTGACTTCTGCATGCAATTCTGGAAGAGTGTACAGTGGCAGGACGAATATTCCTGTGAAGTAGCAACATGATCTGAGTATAATCGTAGGACATCAAGTCTTGACACTACTTGTGACATGATCAATTCTGCTAATGCTCTAGTGCAGACTAGCAATAAGAGGCATTTGTCAGATACTAGTAACCATGAGGTACTGAGACGATTCTCTTTGGCAAGCCACCCACTCGGCTATAAATGCTCAAAGTTAATAATCTGTCATCTGCCTGCTCCAACCTGGCTGTCCTCCTGACAAGTGAAAACCGCTGGCGTCGTCCGGGCCATAAACACCATTATTGGCATTAATCCAACGCCTCACTTGCTCCTCATCTCTGCAGGTCGTAACAATAGGTCTGGCACATCGAAAAACTGAAATATTTGGAGCTCTTAGTTCAAGCTACATTTTCAGAGTCAGGAAGTTGGAAATGGCAAGAAACCCAGCTTCCCGTCACCTTCTAAGTTGACATCACGAGCAATGACCATTATCAGCCAGCAATGTTTTACTAGAACAAAGGCGCTGGCGCATGGCGGGAACAGAAAGCTTTCCATCCAGCAACGTTTCTTTCTCAGCAAAAACAAATAAAAAGGAAAGGAACAAAAAAGGAGCCATACCCGATACCCGGGTACCCAGGTGTGTAGTCCCTGGAAAGGCTCTCCCACAGATTACAGTACAAAGGCCACGGCCAAGTGTCCCACTGAGATTCGGTCGCTTGCCCGGACCGCTGGGACGCGGACACCTCCGAAGAGCAGCCTGTGACGTTTATTTTTTATGAAAGAAAATCCGCAAAAATAGATAAGCTTGTCCCTTTAGCCTTTCGCTTAAAAAAATAACTATTATTTTTATAAAGCGTTGAATTCTGCGCGCGTGTCATCACGGGCCCGGGCCGGGCGAGCGTGCACTGACTGTACTCGTACTGCGTACCGCGAATGCCAGGTGTACCGGTAGATCTACGCGGTGTGTGCGCGCTTTGTTTTGTGTAGCACGCAACTCGATCGCCTCTCAAAAAAAGGCTCTCATGCTAGCTCCGTACTACACGTACCTGCTGAGATCATGATCAAGCTCTTGCAAAAAAAAAGCAACTGAACTCAGCTCATGCAATCAAGAAAAAAGTTCATTTCCTTGACCACGATATTGAAAAAATAATTGTGTTGTGGATTTGTGCTCTGGTGTTCTTCTTGGTTTGGATCTCCCACTAATGCCCTTCATAGTCTGCTCTGAGTTGATGTTACCCATCTATGCATTCGAAGAAGTACGAGCCACCAGACTTGCGCAAAGCATCGTCATTTCAAACCCGCGAGGATGCTCTTGCGAAAAAAACATGTCAATGGAAATCGCTGGAGATCTATGGGAAAGTTCTGACCGTGAGCAACGAGGTGTTTGGAATGAATCATCTGACCAGTCTCCACATGGCCAATAATCGGATATCTCATTTGCCCAGCTGTGTCGGCAATCTTCGATCGCTTGAGTTTCTCGATCTCTCAAACAATGTTTTGGAAGATTTGCCCAAAGAGATAGGCGATTTGCTGAACTTGCGTGAGTTACACTTGAGGCACAACCAGTTGAGAGAACTCCCGTTTGAGGTTGGGCGACTCTTTCAGCTCAGCAAGCTATCTATCGAAGGTAACCCGTTCAACCAGGAGTACCCTAGCGCTCATCCCTCGGATCCACAACCTATTCTTCTCTATCTCCTTGATAATCTGCAAGGTGAGTTATTCACCCAATATCCAATACATGTGGGTGTATTTAATTTTGGAATGTGATGCAAGGGCAAAATAAGCTTCTTTGGTTGGCTGCGCATTTGAAATTGAACTAGCCATTTTTGTTTAGGTAGAGAGCACAGCTGGACACCCATATAATTGTACAGGGTAAAAGGGTTTTCTTGACTTGTACCCCCTAAAAATGTCGATCTAGGTTCAGCATGCACATAGTGACCATGAATGACATGCACCAGCCATCCTACACATATGATTGGGGGCCGTGCACTCCCATAAGGCCATGGTAAAAATTATCTTTGATTCTCAAGTACGCGCGCACCGACGGTTTTTTAAAATTCTTTGCATGCATATGCGCGCATTGGCCGGCCGGCCATGCATGATGTACAAATACGGCATGAATCAGGGAGTAGTAAAATACCGGTATTTTTCTACTCCCTGGCCTGAATATAATGAACATGCGACCATATGGCCATGTACATATGTGTGACCCTATCTTTGGAAATAAAAAAATTGTGGGAAATAAAATAAAAAATCGCTCGCTCGCTCCGATTTTCACAGGCTCATGACCTGAGAATCAACTTTATTTTTACCATGGCCTAAAACTTAGGGGGACCAGCTACACCCCTTGTGTGTGTGTGTGTGTGCGTTTGTGCGTGTATGTGTCTGTGTATGTGTGCATGGTGTGTGTGTGTGTACATGGTGTGTATGCAATGCATGTGTGTGTGTGGGTGCCAACCTGTCAGAAGGCTACCTTCTTGCAAAAGCATTTGGAAGTTGTACTAATTTCGGCTCCACAATCCAGTGTGTCGTTACTCTATGGGCCACAGCCAGCTAAAACAGATCTTAGAGTGAAATTTTCCAATTTTTTATTCTAGAAAATTGTCACTTGCCTCACCACCTTGTCTCTTGAACTAGACTACCAAACAAATATAAAGAACAAGGCCCGACAAGATGCTATCACCACCAGTTGATGAATGAAGCACAGCGTGAATGCGCTCGACAGAAACAATTCTTCATTCGGTCATGTGTCAAAAAGTTTACGAAACCCCAACAACATGTTTTAGCTGACTGCGGCCCATATACCGTAATCTAGCACATACTAGTGTAAGACCATGGTCCTTATATTCGAAAAGTCGCTGTTTTCGGTCCTTTCACAGGTGCATTTTCATTCGATTAGACAATTGCGAGAGACAAACATTGCATCGCCATGTACATGATTGTGCAAGTACGCAAATTATTGGTTAATGCCAGTACAATGGAACCATGATGATCCCCGTGTGGTTTTCTGATTTTCATTTACATACCGTATGTCCACGCATGTAAAGCCATGGCGTTATATCCGAATATTAGGCCACCCTCACTTATAAAGCCATGGCGTTATAAGTGAACAAAATTCAATCTTCACGATGATCTTGCCATGCTCGAAGCATTGCTAGAAACGCTGAAGCCCCGCGCCACGGCGCTGATGGAGCTCTCCTCCAGTGCAGCTACAGCACGAAGCTTCTGCGAAATTGTGTAGCTCTTCCTTGACTTCGGCTTGATCTCGAAGAAACAAACTCAGGCTGAAGAAAATTGAAAGTGCATGCATGCTCGGCGTGAACGTACAACGGTACCGTACGGGTGCTCGCAGTTCATGCTCTGCCAATTTTTTTGCATGTACGAGGTAAAAGTAAAAAAAGTAAAGTAAAAAAAAGGCTATCATTCCGTTGCCCTGGCGAGTTTTGAAGTGTGCTTGGTCTCATTCTGTCACTCTGTTTGTCCTCCGTCCACTTATGGACTTCCTGATCGCACACAATAAACACGAGAGACACACCGTGGGGTTGCTTTACATGCACTTTTCTGGGTGAACAAATGCATGTGTGTGTGTGTGTGTGTGTGTGTGTGTGTGTGTGTGTGTACGTACGTAAAGACAATCCTATTAATTTTGGTAAAGTAATGATCCGAACCTTTAAGGCAGTGATTGAGTTAAGTGTTGAATCTTGTCTCGTTCTATTCTTGCAGTTGCTCCTCAGCCACCTCCTCGGCAATGGACTAGAGTACATTCCTTGACTGAAACCGGGTTTACTGGCTCTGGTAAAAACTACTACTAGTATCCTTGAATTTAGTTGATCAGCTGATCTCTCTCTCTCTCTCTCTCTCTCTCTCTCTCTCTCTCTCTCTCTCTCTCTCTCTCTCTCTCTCTCTCTCTCTCTCTCTCTCTCTCTCTCTCTCTCTCTCTATCTATCTCTTTCTCTCTATCTCTCTCTCTCTCTCTCTCTCTCTCTCTCTCTCTCTCTCTCTCTCTCTCTCTCTCTCTCTATCTCTCTATCTCTCTCTCTCTCTCTCTCTCCTTTTTTTCGCATGCAAGCACGCGCACATACACGCACACATGTGTGTGCGCACATTGCCATGTTAGTTGATCTACCATTTCTTTGGCATATTGTCAATGATGGCCATGACGTAATATATAGCGTTGCTCTCACTTTGGGTTTGTGCATGCTCAGGTGAGCGGTTTTCTGTGATGTCGTACAACGTTCTCAGCGATAAATACGCTACGCGCCAGCTATATGGATACTGTCCATCATGGTCCCTCATCTGGTCGTTTCGGAGAGATCTGATCTTTAAAGAGCTGTCGCAGACGAATGCTGATATCATAAGTTTACAGGTAACACAGGCTTTTACTGTTAAACTCTGTGTGTGTGGTGCGTGCGTGTGCGCACCTCTGGTGGGTTCAGGGTTCGTATTCTTTCTATTAGAAGTTTACATACCTATTAGCCATGGACTGCTTTTGGCTATAAGGTTATATCAGATCCACTCTGATTTAGCCACCCACACTAGTAGCAAGTATTACCTTCACTGGGGGCAGGGGTAACTGTAGGTGGATCCCAGGATGGATACCCTGATGGCGTCAATCCTTTTTCTGCACCTTTCCTCACCCACTTACTGAGGTGTGGTGAGCCCATAAGTGGGATCATTTCCAAGTCCACCCATAGTTTGGGGATTTCAGGGGGTGTCGGCCGTTGGGTGGTTCAATAGCCAATTGAGTCATCTTTCCTGGAATTCCAAGTTTCCTTCGAGTCTCTCTTCCCTCTCCCGGGGAGACCCACGTGACCAGTTTTGGCAGTCAGCAAGTACATGTGTGTTTGTGTGTGTGTGCGTGTGGAGTTACTTTACCAGCCAGCCTTGTTGGTAAAGTAACGCCAATTTCACTTCAAGGTACCAGTACATCAAGTGTCTGCTTCTATCAAAGCAGCGTGCTGTCTATACTGGTTACCCCAGCTAGTGTAGGATGTGCATAGATAACTGTCTTGGCAGTCCTATTCCGATGTACTCCGTGTGGTGTAGACCAGGTGTGCATTGGGGGGTCGATTCACATGGCTTTGCCAGTTGTGTGGATCAGACAGTTATCTGGCGCTTGTCTTGATCTGTTTCATTCAGAATCAGATCCGCTATCGTTGCTGTAAAGAGAAAAAATTGTGGGTGCACATCCAGTGCATTTGTAGTTTTGCGTGCTTCTCTTGCGACGGGCGTATACATGGTACATGGTGCGTGTGTGCGCGTGTGTATGTGCGCGCGTGTGTGTGTGTGTACCACCCAAGGGTGCGGGTTCTATTCCCGACGATTATGGCCATACACGTTTCTTCTCTTTCTCAGACTCACGACTTTTCTTTCATAATCCATGGGTGGTTACCGACAGCCAGTGCATGCCGCAGTATGTGGTTTTGAGTCCCCATAAGTTTGAGTCTTCATCGACGGCCGGCTATGAAAGATGTACGTTCCGTTTCTAGAAACTTTGATCCAATTTGTTGACGTGCTGTTTAGCCATTGTCAAGGAATGACTGCTAACAGGCTCTTAACCCTTTAAGAGCCACAGGAAAATTTCAAAATTCTGCATTTTTTCGTGTTCCTTGGATCATAGCTTCAGTTCTACTCACTCAATCCTCACAATCTAGGGCTTCCTGGAAAGGTCTCCGCGAGAGGAAGAGAATGAGGTCGATCATGATCGCCAGCACACCGTCTATCCAGCGCTAGATCGCAGCGACAGTACGAAAAATGCCCCAAATGCGTCCAATTGCGTCCCGCTCCAGATATTTCATTTTGCTCGATCTTGGAGTTCCAATTTTTTCGCTGTGTACTCTTGACAATATCAACAGTGAAACCCGTGCAAATTCGAGTAAACCAGAGTGACGAAAAGTCTCAAAATTCTCAATACTAAAGTCGCACTGCGCGCTTTTGAAATTGCCGCGATCGCGGCTCAACTTACGAGTGATTTATCTCAGGAACCGTAGCTCGCAGCGCTTCGCGGATTGTTTCTCCCGACAAGTGAGAGTTTTCTCTTCGCCCTGGATATTTCGATCACTGGATTTGAGCGAGATTGGACTGAGTTACGATCTTTTGAAGTTTTGCATTTGAATGCGTCGTTTACGACGCATTCAAGTATGGGGCGGCTCTTAAAGGGTTAAAAGATAGGTGCATATTTCTGTGACGCGGAGGAAGCAGCGTATGTAATTGTGACCGAAATGGAGGTTTACGGATTTGAACAAAATTGTTTGAGATTGGCGTTTTATTATTTTTCTACTAAGGTATCTGTCTTCTTTACTTGCTATGTGCTATCTTATGCTGCAGGAGGTTGAAACAGTAGAGTTCCAAAACTTCTTCCAGCCGAAGCTGACGGTACTTGGCTATGATCATATTTTCAGTGTGAAGTCCCGCGCCAAGACGATGCCGGAGTCCGAAGCTAGGCATGTAGATGGCTGTGCGATATTCTTCAAGCGCAACCGCTTTCGCATGATCCATCGGTACACTATGGAGTTCAACCAGATGGCAGCGCAGCACTCCAAGGGAGCGCCCGACATGCTTAACCGGGTCATGACAAAAGACAACATTGGCATTGCAGCGCTTCTCGAGGTAGGCCTGCTAAGTTGATGTGTGCGTTAGCTGTGCTGCCATAGCATTCATCCCAATGCTAGCCTTGCACTGTGGCTGGGTATGAGCAACAGCTTGCTAGCTAACCTTACCATTGATGCCATCTACGGATGAGAAATGTATCGGTTAAAGGGGCACTCCGGCTTCATTTTCGACGCCGAGTTTTCGATGCCAAGACGAAGGTAGGTGAAAGAGAAGACCCCTCGAACAAGAACGAGTCTCCAGAAGCGATCGAGTCGAGCAGGAAGACGACTTTTGAATTTCGGCCGAGCGAGCGCTGATGACGTAATGAGGGATTAGCTTGCCAGTGGAAATGCATCTGCGCACATACATTTCACACACTTTTTGGCCAATTTTCAATCGAAGAGGAGGTTGTTTGCTATGTTCTCCCAACGCCGTGAGCGATCCCGTCTTCTATACCCTTCCAGGTACCCTGAAGGTCCTCCAGAGGAGAATTTATCTCCATCAAAGCGTTGTTGATCCGCTAAATTCGTCTCGAGACATATTCACCCAGTGCAGTGCTGATAAATGTAGAATGTTGAATCTGTGATAATTGTCGACGATGGAGAGAGAGGCTGATAGCCGCTGTCGCAGGGAGAGTGAAGCTGCTGGAAGTAACAACAGGGAGCCCGTTTGTATCACCTGAACAACCAGACTTCAAAGCAGCTTGACCAAATCGGAGGGTGCCTCGTTGCTTATCGTGAATATTACACCGACATGAATTACTTCAAGTATACTGGTGAGTTTTTATCTTGTTTTGTTCGTATGCTAGTACCCTGGCCTGGAGTTCTCGTTAGCAAATTCCTATTCCCTGGCGTTTTCTAAACATTCCGTGTAGGACTGAATACGTGATCAAGTATTCCGATTTGGGTAGATGTGGAATTTGGACATGTATTTTTATTAAAAAAATTATTTTCCAAATATTGCGTTTGTAGAGAAATGGTTGCCCAAATACAACAAAATTTATTCTGCAGTTCTACAACTAACTTGTACTGAAATCCAGTCGAAGTAAAAATGATTCTTCATGACAGTTGAGGTCAATGAAATCTGATCCAGGCATAACGAATGGTGACGCCTGCCACCCCGGGAACGAATGCCCATTTGGTGGGGGATACCAAAGTACTCGAAAGTAGTGCGTGTTTCAATGTGGCATGGAAGTTTTATATGATCTCTGGTCAATGCAACATACGATAGCCATCATGAATTGCAGGCCTCGAATGCAACTCCGACCAGAATTGGCAGTTCCCAAAGTTAGATGCTTTATAATTCCATGGCCCCAGCTGTAGTTATAGAGGGTTTTTGCACATTATTCTTATAGTCGATAGGTTTATACTGATGGCCACAAACAACGGCAGTTCAAACTTCACTGATGTGTTCATGAGCTGAGAGATTTCTCTCCACTATTTCTGTTGTGCACACAGGTCTGTCCGATATGCATTGACCGTATTGGGTATGGTACCTGCTCTGAGAAGGGAATCGCTGGAGCCACAGTCCAACTATACAGGCTTTCAAGAAACAGAGAGGAGCCATCTTTGCAAGCTGATACCTGATGTGTACCGACAGAATTCTCACGAGATAGCTTACAGACTACGCCTGGTGTATACTTCATAGTACTCCTTCGACTACTGTCTAGAATCAAGTCGACTGAAGCAAGTTCAAACAACTCTGGCTTCAAACGAGCCATCGATTAGACAAACAAAACATTCTCTCATATACTAGAGCACTCTGACAACTCACGACCTATTCCTAACGATTGCCACCGCTTATAAATATGTAGAGTACTGATTGGAATGTGCTCACAATCTCAACAATCCAGTGCTATAATTATTTGAACTATGTGTTCCTTCCATAAATGTTGTATCCACATATAATCCACAGTGCTGCAAAGTTTCAGAGTTCTCAGAGTATCAAACAAAATTATTTCAAATACAGTGAAATAGTTCGTGGACATTATAGCGTAACTTGTAGTTCCCTGGTCCTTTTCTTTGCTATAAATTAATCCTTTGCTCTCTAGCCACCGGCGAGTCCAACAGTGAAATTGTTAGTTCATATTTATGTGGGTATGTGTGTGTGTGGGGGGGGGGGGTGAACATATTTCTATATAAGGGACCTGCAACTGTAATACCACAGTACAGTAGATAGCAAATATGTAGAAAACAGAAATGCATGTTCCCATCATTGTACATGGACGGACGCAGCAGGCCGAAGCTATCAGCCAGAACAGGATTTACAATCGCCTAGAGATACTTGAGCTATTCCAGTATTCTCCGTGAGCTGTCCCATTACACAATGGTTCATGCCACCATTATTTCTGGTAGTATCCATGTGCATAATTCCAAGAACATCTCGGATTCTTCAGCAATTTGTGCCACGGCAAAAGACAACGCTTGACTCGGTCACTGGGGCTGTCAAACTTCGCATCACAAATGAACTTCAATTTCTCATCTGGTTCAAGTATATGTACTGCCATGACTTGACCATGCTTCATCCACAGCTGGGCAAAGATTGTGGCGTTGAATTCCATAGCGCACCTTCTTGCTGCCATGCAGGAATATGTTGAGAGAAGTGAACATATTTTTACTAAAAAAAACAACAGCCACTGAAGAGGATAGCATTAGCAATAGCCTTGGGTGAATTTCCTGCAGGTACACGTTGTTGGTAGGTCTACTGGTCGGTCTCCATATCGTCAAGTTCAGAAATCACCTGTACTACACATCTTGTAGAAGGGATCCTGATCGAAAATTTTTCTGATCATAAAATTCACTAAACTGAGGGCGAGACAAATAGTCAGTACTCCCCGATTCCGTCTAGCTGCTTTGATCAAGTGATGCTAACAAGCTCCCCGTTGTTACTTCCAGCAGCTTCACTTTCCCTGCGATAGCGGCTATCAACCTTTCTGTCCATCGTCGACAATTATCACAGATTCAACATTCTACATTTGTCAGCACTGCACTGGGTGAATATGTCTCGAGACGAATTTAGCGGATCAACAACGCTTTGATGGAGATAAATTCTCCTCTGGAGGACCTTCAGGGTACCTGGAAGGGTATAGAAGACGGGATCGCTCACGACGTTGAGAGAACATAGAAAACAACCTCCTCTTCGATTGAAAATTGGCCAAAAAGTATGTGAAATGTATGTGCGCAGATGCATTTCCACTGGCAAGCTAATCCCTCATTACGTCATCAGCGCTCGCTCGGCCGAAATTCAAAAGTCGTCTTCCTGCTCGACTCGATCGCTTCTGGAGACTCGTTCTTGTTCGAGAGGTCTTCTCTTTCACCAACCTTCGTCTTGGCATCGAAAACTCGGCGTCGAAAATGAAGCCGGAGTGCCCCTTTAAGTCCTACCACCTGAAATCTGAGATATTATGACCTCATCAAACTGCCTTTGTCTTCGCCCAGATCCTTGAGGGCAGTAGTGTTCTGACGGAGGTGGAGCTTTCACACCCAGTGTCTCTTGTTTTTACCTCCCGAAGCACAATGAATGCGGTGGCCACTCACTGTGAGGAGAGAGTGGGCTTTGATTTTGGCTGCTTCCTGTTGCTTCCTCACTAACATATGCAGTACCTGGCTTCGGTCAGATCAAGGACTATCAGTCTTTCTACGAGTAGTGTGGTAGAAATGACATGAGATCTCTTTCTCTCTGTCCTTTTAAGTTATCACCCCCCCCCCCCTCCGTTTTGTTTCTGATTAGGTGAAAGGGCTCAGTGGAACTCTCCGCTCTACCCCGTCACCACCAGACATCCTTGTAGCCAATGTACATATTACCTGGGATCCGGAGTTTCGCGATGTGAAGCTGATCCAAACTTTCATGATGATGCGAGAGCTTGAGACCATTGTGCATGAGGTAGGAGTCTGTTTTAAAGCATGTTGCTCTGAGTGTGCTGTCAATGTGTGCTCCACTGTTAATGCATTGCTGGTTCTATTTATCTTCTCTCTCTCTCTCTCTCTCTCTCTCTCTCTCTCTCTCTCTCTCTCTCTCTCTCTCTCTCTCTCTCTCTCTCTCTCTCTCTCTCTCTCTCTCTCTCTCTCTCTCTCTCTCTCTCTCTCTCTCTCTTGCTCTCTCCTATGTATGTATGTATCTATCTATCTATCTATCTACACGGAAAAGAGAAATAGGTCCAGTTTGGATTTGTCGTGACTCAGAGTTTCATGCCACTGCAATCATCAGACGACTGGTAATAAAAACCTAAAACTAATCATTGTGAATAAAATCACGTGTGATACTTGGCGCTTAGATTGTCATTACTGTACGCGATTCAGGGATGAAGGCCAATGTCACACAGACGTTTTGGATGATGTGAGGGATAAGTAATGGGATAATGTTGGCACTGACGTATGCCAAACCAGTCGTGGTTGTGATGGATAAATATACTTCGAAGTAATATTAGTGCTGATGTATGCCAAAACCAGTCCTGACTGTGTCGGGTACTGTTCTTGCGCGGCAGCTGCGACTGGCTGCTTCTTGTTCTAGTATGTCACGCTAAGTGTGAAGTTTTTTTTATGTAATATTTGTTTTCATGGCGGCATTTTGACACTAGTTCGTTTCTTCTGTTCAGGCTCTTTGGGTTGTTGGCAATGTTCAATATAGTAAGCTGCTCGATTCTGCATAGGTTGCGCCTTTTCGACTTGTTGGGATACGCCTGTGTCCTTGTGCGAACATGCCACCGAACAGAGAATGGTGTCCCCGCACCCTTCAGGTTCCACTCAGGGTTTGACAGTTCAGTCTGGTTCTGATACCGTTCGTGGCGGAAGCTCATAGCTAGCTGTAGAGTGTAGTCAACAAACTCACCACACACGGAACATGACTACTCCCGCACTGCCGTGCTACGTCGTGTGGTAGATGTACAAGAGCCAAGAGACTAGTCAAGACGCGGACTAGTCGCTACTAGGAATGTAGTACTGTACTACACACTGGCCAACCACCAAGATCTCAATCCCTTGACAAGACATGCAGAATCCCTAGATTTTTCTCAAAATCCTGGATGGCACAAAAATAAGTGAAAAGAGCTTTTCCCGACTAAAAAAATGTTTGACGGCATCGGCTCTGCAGATCTGCGTACAGCACAGTTCGACCCTGCAGTGCAGTTCGATCAGTCGACGCCCGCCTGTCAGTGCAGATCTTGCAGGCTAGGCTGGTCAGGTCTTGAAAGTGCCGTGCACAGTTCGAAGTGCGTCATGGCGGAGCCCCCGAAACTCAGTTTTTCAAACGGAAATATCTCAAGAACGCTTTGTTGGAGACACATGGGACCAACGCCATTCGACTCAGCGCATACAGCAATGAAATATCCTGAATCCCAGCAGTATCGCCATGCACATCTGAGCTCTAGGAGTTGGCCTGTAACCGTATTTGATCGTGTCTCCCTGGTGTGTATGTGTGTGTGTGTGTGTGTGAGCCGTACTTGATAGTATATCTCCCTGGTGTGTGTGTGTGTGTGTGAGCCGTACTTGAGTCTTGATAGTATATCTCCCTGGTGTGTGTGTGTGTGTGTGTGTGTGTGTGTGTGTGTGTGTGTGTTTGTGTGCATGTGTGTGTTTGTGCATGTGTGTGTGTGTTTGTGCATTTGTGCGTGTGTGTCTGTGTTTGTGCATGTGTGTGTTTATGTGTGTGTGTGTGTGTGCGTGTTTGTGCATGTGTGTGTGCGTGTGTTTATGCGTGTGTTTGTGCACTGTACGCTACAGGCGATCCAGGAGCGTCAAAGGAATCCTGCACTCGGCGTGCGTGAGATTCCTCTGGTTCTTTGCGGTGACTTAAACTCTCTGCCTAAATCTGGAGTGGTTGAGTATCTTGATAAAGGTGAGGTGCCCACGAATCATTCCGACTTCCTCAATAAATTCTACGACGGGTACCTGGCACGACTAATTGGCGAAAGCAAACAGACGGAAAAGACCAGCTCCGGTGGAGGTAAGGCAGCGCCTTCTGGAAGCTCATTGTCATCAGCTGAGAAGATTACGCACAGCTTCAACCTGTCACGCGTCTATGACAAGGACTTTGAGCTGCCGTTCACCAACATGACGCACGACTTCACCGGAGTCATTGATTACATCTTCCACACGACCGGCTTCCTGCAGGCGAGGCATCTGCTCGGCCCTCCCGACCCTCAGTGGCTGGAGGATAACCGCATCGTTGGCTTTCCCCATCCTCACTTTCCGTCGGATCACATTCCCCTGGTTGCTGAGTTTGAGCTATGCATCAAGACCAATTCCAGCGCGAGCGGTGCGGGAGGCCGACCTTCTAGTCGGAATCGCCAGTCCTGATACCTCTGTCCATGTGTGTCGAGAGCAGCCCAGCTGTGCTATGCGCATGCCGTAGCAGCAGAAACCCTAGATCCGTTCCTGGCCATCGCGCCACTGAGTACGAGTGAATCCCCTTCATCAGATTTGATCATCAAACGCCATCATCATCATCACCATCATTCAGATATCCATGTGTACATGCAAACCTACATTCACACAAACTTAACATAAGCAAGCACCTGTCACCCGCCACATCGCTCTCTCTCGCTATCTAGCTCTATTCTTTCTTCGACCCCACCATCAAGGCAGCAACAGCGACACCATCTTCACGACCATCTGGACTTGAGTTCCGTGTTTTGGAGCATCGAGAAGCATGCCAGAGTTACGTGTGGTGTGTGCCACGCCATCGTCAGCCCCGCCGCCGCTGCTGTCTTTTGGCCGGGCCTCCCCTTTGATAATGTAGGACAAAGACCATGTTGCCCATATATATATATTATATATATCATACTCCTGCTATTGTACTGTGTCATGTATTTAGGTGAACAAACGGCATAATCATCACATACTCGCAAGCTCTCCTTCTGTCTCCTCTCATCCTCACGATCAACATCGCCGCTGCCGCTGGCAGTGTGTGTATGTGTGTGCGTGCGTGTGTGTGTATGCGTGTCAGTGATTGGTTTTTCCATTGATGTTATCGTGTTCTTGTCGCTATGCGTGTCTCCTGGCCGCCAGCTTGCGTGCCCTAGGTCTAGTTCATTGGCTGCACTTTGTACAGGATTATCTTCTTTTTCCTCGTCTTCGATCCTCTTTCCTTTCAACCTCCTCTCTCTCTCTCCCTCTCTCTCTCCTCTCTCTCTCTCTCTCTCTCTCTCTCTCTCTCTCTCTCTCTCTCTCTCTCTCTCTCTCTCTCTCTCTCTCTCTCTCTCTCAATGTTGCCTTGTGTCTGTTGTTGTTGTTTTTTAATTTTAGTCTTGCCGCTTTTTTCCGTTCTAGTAGTCGTTGTCTTCTTCCTTCTGTTTTGGTGATGGCCGTGTCTGAATGACCGCCAGTTTGATGTTGCTCATGTTGTTGTTTTGTATGTGCTATGCCATTTCTCTTTAATCCCATTTCATCTATGAGCTCCTTTTTTCAAGTCCTGGTTAGCTGCTTCCCACGCGTTCTCTTCTGTCCTCGATGTCTTGTACATACGTGTAAATGATGTGTTTGGTTGGCTTGTGGCTGGCTGCAAGTTCTTCCTTATTTCCATAGGACTGTTCGTGTTTTCTTGTTTCCGTTTGCCTCGGTGGCTTTGTGGAGTGGCAGTTATTTTTCCAATTGCCTTTTGTAGTGCTGTTCTGTTGGCATTGTGCACTAGACTGTGTGTGTGTGTGTGACCCTGGAGCATAGCTGGTATATCCGTGTATGTTTACTCATCTAGCATCTGTGTATGCATGTATGTGACCATTGTGTGTGCGTGCGCGTAGGCGTGTTTTGCGTGGCCTCATCTCGCCCTCTTCAGCGTTTTCTACTAGTACTTTGCATTCCCTCTGTGTCTACCGTTCCTTCTTGTTCTGTTTCTCTGGTGCCTGCGCCAGCCAGTGCCGCCACCCGTATCTGCACATGTGTATCATACGTATGAAATACTCTGTTTGAATGCCATGAGCGCGCTCTGGATGCGTGCGGCATTGCCTTTTTTTGTATTTTTTGTACATGTACTCCTGATTTTTACTCTGTTGTACAGTATTATCATATGCAATGAACAGGCGGCAGCTGGCGCTGTGTCCTCCTGTGCTGTGTTACATTGAGCCCTTGTGAATGTTCTGTGCGCTTTCTTAGCTGATGAGCTCCTCAGCGTTTCCTCTGATATGTTCAGTATTTCTTGGAATGGTGTGTGACAATGCGCGCAGCTCTACTGTGCGCTTTCGACTTTTCAACACGTAAAAAGAAACTTTTTCTGACCGAGCAGCTCTGTGTAGCGCATGCCTGTGCTGATGAGATGTGCATGTGCTGTGTGTTTGTGTGTGTGTGCGATGGTGGAGATCAGGATTTTACTACTCCCTGGTGGAAATGGTGGTGCTTTGGTGCTACATTGTCACAACGTGATCATTGTGCAGTAGACTCCACTCAATACAGTCAAAAAAGACGCACAGTGCTACGAATTAGAATCGAGAGTACAATCATTATACAATTTCAAATGGTCGGCACCAGGGAGTCGTAAAATACCGGTATTTTACGACTCCCTGGTCGGCACCCCATCCTCATGTTGCCTGATGATTGAAGTACATGTAGCAGCAAACAGGCCTTGATTGTCCTTGTTGTTCTGTATATGAAAATACATGTATATCGAGTAAAGGACCTTGGCGAAGGTACGAGGTCTAGCCCGAATATGAGGGCAATAAGCTGTCCCCGGGGAAAATTGCGATTCCGCGGCCGCGTTTTTTGCGATTTTTTAAAAGACCGCGTTTTCCGCGATTTCCCCGCGTTTTTTGAATTTTTTTGTTGCACTACACGTACACACAGTGCACTGTTCGGTCAGCAACGTCTCATCGTGGCGGCTTTTTACTCAAATATGACGAGTGCTTACACCAGAGACTTGTAACTGATTGATTTCCCTACATACTCACTGAAAATTGCCGCACATCAATATTATTCACCGCATATTTACCGCATATTTACCGCAAATTCACCGCAAATTATGCCATATTATGCCGCGTTTTCCCCCGCGTTTTTGCGATTTTTTTCCGCAATTTTCCCCGGGGACAGAATAAGGTATTTATCACGGCATGGTTTATCTGGCGCTATCCCGCATCTGTCCCGTACCGTACCGTACCATCAAACACAGCTGGCCGCAATATTCAAATAGGGCTTTCAAACGCAAGATCATAACGTGAAGCACTGAGTGGTTGAACTTGGAAGAATGAGTATGAATGCGAAGTGTATGGGGGAATGCATGTAGGGCGATAGTGCGGGTTCGAATCCCAGGTTATGCCTAAAAAAATAGGAAAAATTTATAACATCCTTATGCTTTTTTTGCCTAGGTCATCAAGGCGGTAGACGGTGTCGTATTATCCTCGACCGTACCTGTCTCGTACCGTACCATCAAAGATGGCTGGCCACAATGCATATTCAAATAGGGCTTTCAAATGCAAGATCATAACGTGAAGCAACTTGGAAGAATTAGTATGTATGCGAAGTGTATCGGGGAATGCATGCAGGGCGATAGTGCGGGTTCGAATCCCAGGTTTAATATGTCTTTAAAAAAAAAGGAGAAATTTATAAGAATTTATAACATCTCTATGCTTTTCTTGTCTAGGTCATCAAGGCAAAAAAGCATAGCGTAGGGCCCTGAGCTTCCAAGCTGTCTCGTTACGTTGTGCCTTTCTGCTTTATCCTATGTGTTTTGGTCTTGGTCCCGCATGATCACTGAGGGTTTGGCACTCCAGCGACCTGGGCAAAGGGTTGTTTTTACGAATTTTATGTTCTAACGAATTATGTTGGAACCGGACCTGTAAACAGTTGTGTAGACCACGTTTCGCCAGGGGATTCCAGATTTCTATTTACTAACGGGAATTATGTGCTAACCGGACTCGTTGTAACGAGGGAGGACCTGTAAACCGAAATTTCCAGTTGTCACTTTTAGTATGTTCCCTAAGTTCTCTGACTGATAGGCGATTCACAGGATGCGTTTATCCCCGTTTGTTAGGTGCTCGCAGCAAGTCAAACGTGAAACCGCAGTTCACACAGCCGCGTGTGGAAGCCAGAGCTCCCAGAAGTATAATAATTATGGTGAGTATACGGTGTTACTGTGGTGATACCATAGTGGAATGAGTACCCAAACTCCAAAGGCAAAGGGCCAAACAACCAGGGTTCAAGACTACTGGACGATAGTACGGCCTCGCTGGCTCATCATTGAACTGTAAAAAAAAGAGTTTTATTCCTTCTCCTTTTCATTATTCTATATTGGTTTGGAGAGACTCCCATGATAGGTATCCATTTACCTCTGGAGAATCCGTAAATAAACAATACAACAATACAAAAGTGCCCCGGCAGATGAGTGCATCCGCGGTCAAAATGCTCATGGACACTTTTGATTCCCGCAGACAAAGTTTGGTTGCTTGAAGGAATATCTCCGTGGTGATTTCCCTGTAAACTAGTGCCGTAGTAGTAGTGGTGTACATGGGTAGTCGGGGTAGACAGGTACATAGTAGTAACAAGAGCACATAAACCAGAGTGTGCAACTGTGCATACCAGATCTGAAACAGCGCAGTTCGTGCACTACGTCACCCTGATGAGGTCAGCCAAGCCGCGACTTACGTACAGCTCAAATTTTCATGATTCATAGCCCGGAAATCAGCCAAGTTGGCTTAATTTTAGATGTCCAGTTTCAGGATTTCGGTGTTTTATGTGACTGTGTATCACATCCACCAACGAGTAAAGTCACCAGGCTATCCGTATCAAAAAACCGAAATCAGGACAAACTCAGTGACCTGCACCAACGCGACTGGTTACGCAACTTTTCACCGTACCTGTGGCTTACCATGCCATCAGAAATGACGTACTGCACGAATTACGCTCCCACAGGAGCCATCCCGAGTTGCACACTCTGGTTTATGTACTCTTGGCAGTACCTGAAACCCGAAGTCGCAGATGACATCATATACAGTGCACGAATACAAATTCATGTAATACTCCACATGTCTACCCAGTGTGTAAGGGAAGGGGTGCATTGCGGTACTGCCATGGAAACATTACCCGATAGGGTACCCGTGGAAAACTGCCCGAACCCGATAATCGAAGAAAATGCTACCCAACTCATCCCTACTGTAAACGTGGATTTGCCTGTCTTGTGAGCGAGCTACAAGAAACTGACAGTTTGGATTCTAGTCCTAGCATTTATTTTAGCCTCTTCAGATTTTTCTTCATTCATTTCTGATTCCTTTTCTTAGTTGAGGAAATAGTTCTACCGGTAAATCCCCAGCCTATAACCATCATCTCGTGTGCTCTGGATGGCAGTCGTGAGTCAGTCAAGTGAGAATTAGTTGGCAGGAAAACCGCAAGCTCCCATGTAGGGTCTAGGGAGCAACACACACTTCCCCTATAACCATCATGGCAAGAAAAATTACAGATTTTATACTCAGTGACAGTTGTGTCGTGAGCAATGAATAGTGCAATACATAGCGGTTTGTGTAGGAGGAAGTCAGTCTGCTACAAGTAGTATTCTCACCACCATGATCATCAGAACTCAAATTATTTGCTCACGAACTCGCCAGTTTTAACCCAGGTAGTAGTACTCCCTGGTTTGAACAAATTCTGGCACTGAGTCCTGATGATGGTAGTGAAGAGTACAGTCAACTTCGCTAATAACGACTGCGGATATAACGACAGAATTTCCATGCCCAGAACAAAGTTCCATCCAACTGTAATACATATAATGAGACTTCGGGTATAACGACACTTCGCGAATAAGGACACTTTTTTGATGCCCCACCGAATATCGTTATAAACGAAGTTGACTGTATAGCATTTGTACACGTGCATGGTCGTACTTCCTTGTACAGACTCCATTACCATGATTACTCCATTACTCGTTCACCTACTAGTACAGTAGTACTAGTACTCAGTACTAGTAGTATTCAGGCCGCGAACAATTTAAAAACAATCAGACAACGCGAGACCACGAAAACGTTACCGACGAGGGTCGCCCTGTCCTGGGAATCAAGGGCCTAAGTCCTTCCATCATTCATAGCGATTTGGGGTTCTCGGCCGCAGGAAGCCCCTCCTGTTCAAGGCTTCCATGGGGATCGACCATGACACAATAATCAAACTGAAATGTTCTTCTAGTACACTGTCTGTAGTAGTGTTTAGTACTAATACTAGTCATAGTAGCTGGGCGCAGTTCTGCAGACATTATACATAATATTATACCGGAAATGGTTTTGGATAGATACAATAGTTACAAAGAATGAGATGTGACAGCGCACTGCATCATGCTCAACTAACACAGTAACAGTAATAATAGAACAAGGGGAAATAATTGAAGACTGAGAAAATGAGGGCCCATGTACAGCGCTACAAACGACCCCTACAAAAATATTGATAATGCCTTTATTATTCTCCAAACTCAGTTTTCACTTCTCCAGTTTCGATGTGCGGCCTGGGTAGACTGCCCCGGGGTCATCCTGGCACAGATCACTGTCATGTCAGGGTCAGTGTTACCGTGTCTGTACCTGTGTTACTCACTCATTCATACTCATACTCAGTCATAGCACACAGAATAGAACAAGAGGATCCGGATATCTACGACTACGTATCCCCCTGCGGCTCTTCTGGCCGTTCTGCGTGCATGGCTGAGCTAACCTGGTTGACCCAGGATGTCACCGTGCACCATGTAGACGTCTAGACATAGACATAGGCATAGATCTAGCCAGGCAATGCAACAATGCTTGAATGATCTGTACAAAAATCTACACACGCTAATCAGTATCTGTATGCGCTGCACCGTTTGATAAGTGTATGAGCAGCGCTATCATTCTTCCTGCTCTGCTCGCTAGAGTTGAGTGCTGGGTGGTCGTTTCTGCAGCCCTGAAATGGCGTGCAAACGCATTTGGAAGTGAGGCCAGCTGCAGGTGCCTGTGTGGAGTAGCCTCCTGTCCATGCCCTGACACATGTTTGCAAGTTGTAGCAGCAACAGCGAATGCAGCCAGCATTTCTAAAGTTAGTTCGATGAATGCTTGCACTTAGTCTTAGTTGCAGCAAAGTTCCCATCAATCCAGCATCTGAGACGGAAACGCAAGGCAAGATTTATCTCGCGTCTCTGCTCGTAGTCAACTTGATTTAGTTGGAGCAAGCTGCCACCGTCGTCTTGCTCCCGGGTTGCCGTTTCCCTGGCGAGTACTTGGTAGAGCTCCGTGGCAATGGCGGCTATGGATCAGGCCCCCAGCTTTGGAACTGACCTGATAACGCGCCACGGTAGCGAGGCGCTGTTGCGGCACAATGACGAGGAGATTCGCCTGCTGGAGTCGATGAGAGCCTACATGGCCAAACGTGCTAAGGCTGATCAGGACTACGCCAAGGAGCTACTGAAGCTCCGTGCCGATCGCAGCACTGGTAGTCATCTCCATCGGACGGAGAGTAACGCTACTGAAGAACTGAACCCAATTTTCAAGGTGTGTGCATTTTTTAGTTCTTAGGACTAGGAGTGTATGGGATCTGCACTCGTCCTTCCATCAATAATCTCTTGAGTGACAGATGGGGTGAAGACTGAAGTTGCCTCGAATGAAACACTCATGTTACATGGTCATCGTGTAGAGACGGACGGTCGTGTACGATGTAATAGGGTGCTGGGGTTTTGTTGAACAAGAACTTCCCGTTCCTGCTGGCTCTCAGTTGTATTCGATTGTGTTCGTCAGATGATGTGCTTCACGGTATCGCTAAGTAGTTAGAGGATGATTCCTGTAGCAGGAAGTATTTCTTAGCGCATCAAGCATACACGTGTTGAAGTAACTAGTTTGAGCTGCAAGCACACACTCAGGTTATTGCGGGAGATGGCTTTTGTGAAGTATTATTATATAAAAAGAGCACTGTCGACCTTTCTGAATACAATGTACCTGGTACATGTATTTGGGACTAAAATGTATATGAAATAGTTAGACTTTTGTTTATGTGTGGGCTGGCTCTCCCCTGTACACATCCATAGGCTGTAAGGCCTGGTTCATTGCGAATGGCAGATACCGGTATCAGACCATGCTCGTGCGTTGTGCACGCAACGGCGTTTTGCTCGTCGCCAGTGCAGTGATGTAGGTGGTCTGGTCCAGTTGGGCAGCGCCACCTGGACTCCAGAAGCTCGGCGCCGTGTGGGTGCCCCGGACTCTGCACTTCTAGGAAGTCACTGCGCGGCTGTGTGTGTGTGTGTGTGGGGGGGGGGGGGGGGAGATGTCAGAAAAAGGTGTTCACAGTTGTGCTGTGCGCTGCGTTCTTAGGTCGCGCCGTCGTCATAGATGAGTCATATCCCTACGCTACTGCACTGCTCTGCAATACCATTGCTTTTGCTTCGTCCTGTCAGGGCAGAGGCTATATCCGATACTCGTTAGGCAATTGATAAAAACCAATTGCTACAGCAAACGCTTTCTTATAGATTAATTACCGCAATAATCAATGCAAGTTGCGCATTGATTACACACACCCACACACACACACACACACACACACACACACACCATCGGTCAGGGTTTGACGATGCACAACTTAAATTATAGCGTTAGTAAAGGTACACCGGGGAAGTATGGTCTAGGATCAAATCTCACTAACAGTTACTCGTAGTCTTCAGTGTGCTGAGTCGAATGGTCTTGGTCTGAGGAAACTGATCCGCGCCCTTCCTCCTTTATTCCCGAACAAACTCGTCTCCTCCACCGAAACTAGGTGACTGTGCTCTACTAGATGGGGATGCATATGCAAAATGTCACTAAAAGTGCCATTTCGTTCTTATAAAAGCACAGATCAACGCGATTAGCCCATATGTTATAGTATTTTGGACTTTGAGTCGACTGGTTTGGATCCGAGAAGGCTGGCCCTGCAATGCACAGTTCGGCCCTTATTCCAAATCGAACAAGATTGATTAATTCCAATCACTCGAGTCGAGCATTGGTGTGAAAGCTACCGTCGCTAACCTTTCTTGTCCACATGCATGTATGCGGGCATCATAAATCGACGATTAGGAGACAGGAGTGGTGCTTTTGGTTAGTAACACAGTTTGCACTGACTTGTTATGTCTCTCATCAGTGGAGCTCATAGTGCCTGGCCTAACTGATCGGAGTGAAGTTTGGTGGACAACAAAGCACATATAATCCGGCTGAAAGCATCGAGTTCAGAGTGCCCTAACAAGGAGACACAGAACGAGCTTCACATGAGGGCACGTACCGTATATTGCGGAGTATATGCCACACTTTGAACACGCAAAATTCACCCCCAAAAAAGGGTGTGCGGCTTACACTCTGATGATCAACTTACCGGTGATAAATACGGTAGCTGTCTGTATTTCGTGGCAAAAGAAGGGGGTTGCGGCGTATACTCCAGTGTGGCTTATACTCCAGTGCGGCTTATACTCCAGTGTGGCTTATACTCCAGTGTGGCTTATACTCCAGTGTGGCTTATACTCCAGTGCAGCTTATACTCCAGTGTGGCTTATACTCCAGTGCGGCTTATACTCCGAAAAATACAGACAGTAGCTTAGACTCTAAGCAGAATAAGTGCTCAACCAAGCTGAAGCAAGGGAGCGTAATGCTATTGCGTCCCTACACGCATATGCCCACATATGTACTGAACTCTACAGACAGCAAGCTACACACTTCTGTACACTGCACATACACACGCCTACGTATGGACAGTCACCCAGACAGCCACTCAGCCAGACACACACACACACGTGTGTCACTCATTATCACATCGGGATTCTGAGAACTTGATCGCACCACAGTACATGCATGTGTGGAAGTGCACACCCGGTACACATCAGGGTGTGTGTGTGTGTGTGTGTGTGTGTGTGTGTGTATGGATGTGTGTGTGTGTGTGTGTGTGTGTGTGTGTGTGTGTGTGTGTGTGTGCCCTTATGGGACCACATAGCTAGTCATGGAAGAAGGAAGTGAACACCCGGTACACATCAGGGTGCGTGTGTGTGTATGTGTGTTAGGCAGTTATCTGGCGCTAATCTTGATCTGTTTCATTCAGATATTGTCCGCTATCGTTGCTATAAGAGAAAATCTGTGGGTGCACATCCAGTGCATTTTCAGAGTTGCGTGCTTCTTCTCTTAAGACAAACGTATATACATGATACATGGTGTAATTATAATGTATGTGTGTGTGTGTATGCGTGTGTGTGTATGCGTGTGTGTGTGTGTGTGTGTGTGTGTGTGTGTGTGTGTGTGTGTGTGCGTATGTGTGTGTTTGCACGTGTGTGTATGCGTGTGTGTACATGTTTGTGTATGTTTGCATGCATGGGCAAGATACCTCTCTGCTTCTTGATGTGGGCTATGAGCATTGTCTTACGGCTGCCTTATCTTATTGTCATTACTGATTGATTTTGCACAGGCTTGGCACATGTTTCAGTCGGAAACTGATCGTGTGTCAACATTGATTTCGCAGCACTCGCAATCACTCAATGCAATAACCGTCCAATCACTTGACAAGCTGCTCAATAGCAAGAAGCAAGCCAAGAAACGCTTTACAACTTGCAGACAAGTAAGGCACGGATGGAAGGAGAAGGAAATAGAACATTTAAAAAATAGGATCATTTCTAGTTACTTGTGCTTTTTCTCGGATCTGATTTAGGATATGGAAGGGACAAAGGGTGACCTTAGCTTAGTGGTATTCGGCAGTGCTTCACAGCATTCCATGAATTCTATGTAAGCACTGTTTTCATTTTACTTTGTAGTGATGACCTGTGTGTGTGTGTGTGTGTGTGTGTGTGTGTGTGTGTGCGCGGGTGTGTGTGTGTGTGTGTGTGTGTGTGTGTGTGTGTGTGTGTGTGTGTGTGTGTGTGTGTGTGTGTGTGTGTATGTATGTGTATGTGTGTGTGTGTGGGGGGGGGGGTCTGGTTGTTCGTGTCTGGGGGGGGGGGGGGTGGGGTGCTTGTGTGTGTGTGTGTGTATGTATGTGTGTGTGTGTGTGCGAGCGTGTGGGGGGGGGGGGGTGTGTTTGTGTGTGTGTGTGTGTGTATGTGGTGTGTGGTGTGTGTGCTGTGTGTGTATGCCCATGCATGCTTTTATGTGTTTGTATTTGTGTTCTCAGGATGTCGACGCAGCGTATGGCAAAACAACTGAACGTGTCACCAAACTCAAGAAGTCCTACAAAGCACTTTCAATGGACGTTTCGAAGAAGAAATTGGACTTTCAGAGATGCGTTGGAATGCCCAATGCCGAAGAAAAGTAAGAGATGATTTACCAATGAAAATGCTCCAAGCTTGTCTAGTAGTATAGTGCTGCTCATTTGAATCCGATTGCACAAGTCCGGTTCGCATCAGTGGGCGCTGTGCAGCCCGAGACCTGAGAACAATGGGATGTGACTTGGTGCAGGGGCAAACTTGCCGCACGCAATCGAATCTCATTGACCAGCATTGCAGTATTTCAGTCTTCCGCTACTTTGGTCGAGTTTGGTCCATGTCGAGTGAGTCAGGACGACTTTCAGTGCCATCACTGGTGTGTGTGTCAGGATGGCCGAGTGGTCTAAGGCGCTGCGTTCAGGTCGCAGTCTACTTCTGTAGGCGTGGGTTCGAATCCCACTTCTGACATCAGTTTTTTTGCTCTTCTCGAGCCAGAATGGAAGATTTGGTTCATCAGCGAGTTTACGCTTCACGTTTTTTCAATTTCGAACGTGAGAAAAACGTGCGTTGAATCGCTTTTTTCACCTTGAGTGAGAACTAACGTCCGTTGAATCGCTTTTCTCACCGTTAGTTGGCCTTCTGTCGCGTTGAAATCTCTTAAGTTGCAACGTGAGAAACGCCAATTTGGCCGTGAGATCTCACGTTTAAAATTGAAGAAAAATGTGAAACGTTAACTCTCTATTGGCTTACAAAAACTCGCCCATGCAATGGTGCATGGCAGTCTAGAAGATGCTGAATGTTTGTGATGAATGGGCATTGCAAAAGTGACAATAGCCTGACTGTTCTCCTCTGTGTGGGGCCCGTGCATTGCGACCCGCTTTGTGTCCTGACTAATGAGGTCTTTTAGGGACCATCGCAAAAGTTCGCAGAAGCCCCTGAAACGAAGAGCATACGTTTGGGGGGGAGGGAGTCGGTGCGAAAATCGCAAACCGGGCTTCAATTCAAAAAAGTATTGACGACATAAAATAGGAGCTGTAGGATTAGCATGCCATCACAGCGGGCGTAGATCGCTTGTCAGGACGCGTAGTCCATTCATGCAACTTCGCGTGTCGCGTAGCTGGCTGCCTGTACCCTGTGTGTAGTCTAGTACCAAGACTCAAAGAGTCCATAAAACGCGTGGTTTATGGACACTTGCTAGTACTAGTACCAAGAGTACATAACACTGTTTATCTACTCTTGCTAGTACTAGCAGGGGTTCATAGGGTTTATGAACCCCTGCTGTATTATTATAATAATTATTATGTGTGAGCATCCAAGTGAAATAATGAAGGCCATATTGTGACTGTCGTTTCGTTTGAGGGGGGAGGGAGGGGGGTCAGGCCCGAAACTCACGGTCTTCGTTTCGGGGGCTTCTGCGAACTTTTGCGATGGTCCCTTATCCCGAGGTGAAGTCAAAAGGGCATGCGTGCGATTTATTGTGTGCACAAACTTTCAACGTGAGGACAATTTGCCACCTCTCCCCGGCTCTTTGGTCGCCTCTTTTTAGTCTATCAATAGAGAATCCGCACTGAAATTCATAACCTAGATACTGTAAGGCTACACATTTTCGGCCCATTCAAATGTCGGCCTCCCAGGGCTAAAACCCATTTCGGCCGCATGAATTTTTCAGCCCGGTATACTGCTGCCGCATGTATACACTGTCGCACTGAACCGTGCAAAACAAAGGTTCAGCCGCAACAGATTTTTGGCCAAACCTGAACAGGCCGAAAATAGCCGAAAATATGCGCCGAATAATTGTTGACTTGGTGGGGTGTAGGAGAAAAGCCATGTAAATATTCGCCTTTTTTTCTTCTGTCTTCTGGTCAGGTATTCAGTGGGGGTTGTAACGTTACCAGAAAAGCCATATAGACATTCACCTGCCACAATGCAGCACAAATCTCTACTGTTGCGTTGCCAAGTGTATTAGCGCTCTAGTGTGCTACATGTATACCTATATAGCATTGCACTATTCCTCCACCCTTTGCCCTACACGTTTAACCCGTCGACTTTCTACGCGTCGATATGTAACACTTTTTTTCTCTTACAGGCAAGCCGATTTTTTTGCCACCTCCTTTTCGTCGCGCTATTGAAATGTTGTACCTCCATCATGTCTGCCCTCTTTTCTGAAATCCCCCTCCGTATATATTCTAGTGAATGCTAGTCTTGGTCATATTACATGTATGCTGTCTGGTGAGTGCTTCTTAACACGAAACTCTGAGTAATGGCGGAAAAAGACTTGGTTGTGTCGTTGCTGTGTGATCAGTGTAAACATTCACCATGATGTTCTCTATTTGTTTTCTTCTGGTCAGGAAGAAGAAGTATATAAATGGAGCGGTGAAGCTGTGCAAGTGTCACAACGAGTACTTGCTGGCGCTGCAAGAGGTCCAGGAGCATCAGGAGGCGTATCGCACGCGCATCCTGCCATTGCTCCTGAACAACATGCAGCAGATGTGCCAGGGACACGCACAGCAGTGGTTAGTTAGTAGCACTGGCGAGGGTCTTGAGCGTATGTTTGTGCCTTCTTACTCTACTTTCTTGTCACACGGTATGGCGATACAGTAAAACCTGGTTTAAGCGACCACCCCACGGTGTGCAAGCAAAAGCAGTCCTTAAAGCCAGGTGGTCTTTAGAACCAGGTCCCACAGTGTCTGTGTAGAACTGTCTGTGCATGGAAAAACGGCCGTTTAGAGCAGGTGGTCGCTAAACCCAGAGGTTGCTTACACCACGTTTTACTGCAATTCCATTCGCCATGGGCCGACAGAGGACTTCACCAGCTTGATCAATGTAAAACGCGGCTTCATGGTACCTTGCATACTCACTGCTGCCTGATACTGACTACTCTTCGCCCCAAATCCGTAATTTATCTCCACACTCCCCAAATAATCATTCCTTGCTGTGAGCAGCTCTGCCCGTTTGGTTACACATTGAAGAGTTACAATGACAATGACAACAACAATGACAGCAGCAATAGAAATAACGACGACGACGACGACGACGATGATGGCTGCAGTAGCAGCAGCACCACCACCAGCAACAACAATGACAACAACAGCAACAATGACAACAACGACAACGACGACGACGACGACGACAACAGCAGCAACAGCAGCAGCAGCAGCAACAACAACTACTACTACTACAACAATAGGCGCTGAATATTTTCTTGATGCTGTCATTCTGTGTTACAATGTGCAGGATGGATGCAATGACAGACAGTTTGGATAACATCGACTGTTGCCGTGAAGAGTATCGGGAGATCTACAGCCGTCTCCATGCCACATTGGAAGAGCTAGACCCTCAAACCGAGTATAATTCGTTTATCGAGAGGAATGGGTGAGTTGAGACACTCGAGAAACTACGCGAGTGACCTGCAGCTTGCGTCGAAATTTGGAGTTTTACGCCAAATTTGACATGAAATTGAGCGTCACGAAACGTTTTCATGGATCTGCATGTATCAGCCTCGGACTTGGAAGGAACGAACACAAACAGCTTGTTGTGGAATTTCACGTGGAGCCTTGGCATGATATCTTAGATGTGAAAAATGCTTGTTTGGCGTGCTCTGACAGTGTGTTCCTCTTTTCATCTTGTAACAGTGGTAAGCTGCCCCCTGCGGAACGCTTCACCTTTGACGAGAAGCTGCTGGACCATGGTCCGGAGAATGCCAGCTCCGATCACCTGGTCATCAACAACCTGACACAGCCGCAGCTGGAAGAGGAGTAAGTACCTCATTATGTAAATGGTTGAAAGATAGCTGGCTGTAGTTTTTCCATAGCGGGGTGGGCGTGGTGTCGATCTCTCCGATCTTGCTCGAAATCTGCGGCTAAGTTTCCTTTGGGGTCTATAACGGCCATGTGAAGGATTTTTTGCACAGCTTACAGACACCGTCAAGCTGGGGTACTGTGTGAGTGCCTGAGTGCATGCCTACAGATGTGTGGTAGATCATGTATCATTCAATGATGGTGTACCTTTGTCGTGTATGGCGTATAACATTTCTCTTAGGTTTGTATGAGAAAGGTCCACCTCAGGGGCGTAGGCAGGGGGGGGGGGTGCTTTGGGTGCCAAAGCACCCCCCTCAAAAATTTCGACCATGGGTCTGGTTTGGCATGCATTGTTTGATCAAACAACCGCGACTGCCCTCAGCCCAGACTGGGTGCATGCTACGTAGATCTGCGAGCACTGCATTGTACTACACGGGCTTGCACTTTTCCGTTGCAGTCAGTGTGCAAGTAGTTACTCCATGCAGCCGCGTGGCGCGTGGTCCGGCCTGTACTACCTACAGCTAGCGCTAGCTAGCGCTAACTGTAGCTGACCACGCGCCACGCGGCTGTCACTGTCAGAACCAAGGCAAAGGTTTCATCACTTACCGTACATGACAGATAGATGCATGGTTCACTGGTTTCGGTGCCTTGTCTCTGCTGTTTTCCGGGCGGCAACTGCGCTTTCAAACTCATACCAGATTACAGCCAGCGCGGAGCGCTTTGTTTGGTTTGAGTCCTGTTGCATATCGGAGTCCCGGCTTTGTCCTCTTGCTTTTGGTTGAAAAACTTGGAAGTTTCCAAATTGTTGAACGCTTAGTTCGCCGGTCCTGTCAGAATAAGCAAGGGCTCATGCTTGGGAGATGTTCACTGCTGAGGTTGGTTGTGCTAACAAGCGTTAGTTGTGAAACCCACGTTGCTTATAGTAACGGATTCGAGCTTGTGTGTACATGTATGTACACCTAGTCGTCTCTCATAGAATGGTTATTACAATCTGTGGTGTGCTCTCCAGCCTTACAAAGAAACAGAAGAAATTGGACGACTTCCGGAAAGACCTACAAAATAAAGTAAGCAACACTCTGCTGTGTCCTTTGTCTTGCTTGCATTGTCGGTTCCTGGAACTCTCTCTTTATGCTGCACCACCTATCGTCAACTGTTGCTCAGGAAGGCAATGCCATCAGCCTTTCTTCATGAAACGTGGTCATCATAGACCGGTGTCGTCTTCAGTTTGCCTCGTGAAGCACGCAATGTGGCCTGTGATGGATGATAATGTGACGACTGGTGACTTCTTGTATCACTTGTCACATACTTGTCATCTGTGAGAGGTCATGCTGTTGCGGAGAAGCAGCTGATCTGTTTCCGTAGTTCAACACCGCTGGACCCGCACTACCACCACAGTGCGGCAGCCACTCTGATGTTGTGTGTCGTACCTGTGGCTGGCTATTCGTGTGTGTGTGTGTTGTATGCAGACCGATGAGTTGGATGTGGTTAGAAACACGCAGGTCGATGAAAACGTATCACCAGCTGAGCAAATGGAACAGTAAGTACTGGTCACTGAAATCCGATCGCATTATTCAGGTTTGCGCCGTGCACCAATGACCATCCCAGTGCTCGCAGGTCTAGGACTGCACTGCACCGGCGTGTCATTCACTCGCTTGATCGGCTTGCATTGAGCAGTACTGGATGTACCTCGTGTTCTCTACCTCTTCTCTCAGACATATGAACACGCTGCGAAAGTACAGTGACTTATCGCTAGAGGTGGAGCAGCTCTGGCTCGAACAAACCAAGCTGGAACTGGCTGTTACCACTGTCGAAGCATCCCTCAGTAGCCTCGATGGTCAGGCAGCCCCGTTGTTTGACGAGGCAGTGGGCCAGCTCGACCATCAAGTACTGGACTCACAGGTACAGTGATTTGTGTGTGCAATACTGTAGTACTGTCGTGGACTGATTGAAATCCGATGGGATTACCGGTTGTGGCGCCCTTACTGATTTTAGCGCAGACATGCACTGTAGTTGGCAGATACACTGTAAATAAGTGTTACAGTGTTGTTAGGTACCTCCTCCCGTACAGTGTGTATAAATGGTCCAGCAGTGACTGCGGGTGCAAGGCCAGCGCCCAGTAGCCGCTTGACTTCTCGACGGACGCCAATGTTCGCTACAGTACTAGTAGTTGGCACTGAAATGCCTTTGATTGCAGTTAAAACTGCTTTGTCCTCCTGCACGGTGGATAGCTAGTACACCCGGTGCACTGCTAGCCGACACTATTAGTGTTTTCACTTGAACTATCATTCAGTCTCATTGTAATTCATCCGGCAAGCTGTATATTTTGCCCTTGAGAAGCCACCTGTACTTGGAATACGTCGCAAATGACACATTCAAATGAAAACATCCAACAGATAGTAACCCAATTCCTATGACTCAAGCTATAAATAATTCAGCTTGCTTCAACAGGCCTTATCGACCTTTCTTGAAGCCAATGCTTTTCTGGACGATATCGGGACATGATCAGATCCTTTCGGTTATCTTGTGGGGGTAGATTGGGGTTACTACCTCGATATTGGGGCAGTCCCACCCGGGATGGTTGCCAGGTATGGTAACTTGGGAATATTGTTATCTGCTATAGAGTCATGCTGTAGCTCAGTTGGTTAGAGCATTGCTCGCGAATGGCAAGGTCCCTGGTTTGCTGAGTCCCGGTGGTGTGACTGATGATTTTTCTTTCTTTCATATCTGGCTTGCAAGTGTTGAGTTTCGGAGAGAAGAGAGCAGTACGTGGCATGTGGCCTCTTATTTCCTAATGCTATTCATCTTTCCCTCAAACCAATGGATATGTTTTGTGCCTTGTTAGGATTACACGAATGGTGATGCCGCTGGAGGAGCACTGGGAATCGGTGGTCCCAAGAATCGTTTATCCGGCTTTATAGGTGGTGTCTCGTTTATGACGAAAAAGGTAAGGATCTAGATCGTAGTTTGAAGGAGTTCATGAGCTGTAGTACACACACTACTGTGTAATAGTTGTGTTTCCTTATTTATTTTACTCCCTGCTTGTATCTATACCAGTAGGAATATATTTTGTGTTGCACCAGTGACTGAAGAGTACTGTGTGCTATTGTTGGTGAGCAGTTGTATGTCTTTGTGATTAGCTGTGCGATCCCTCTGAAAGCTCTTCGGTATTCGATTTGAGCACGAAAAATATCCTTATGGGTGTTAGCTGTGTTTGTACATACAGGTATGAGTTGTGAGACTAGACATTGCGTTATCACATTGGCATTCGTTGCCTCATGTTGTTCACAGAGAGAGAAAGTGCTTTGCTTTTCCAGACTATTACCTGCTGTGCACATGCCATTGCTGTGACTCTGTGCATAGAGACCTGAATTTACACAATTATAGCCTGTAGATGAGCTACTTGCCACGGTTTCATGGCGAAAAACACAGGGTTTCATGGCGAAAAACACAGGGTTTCATGGCGAAAAACACAGGGTTTCATGGCGAAAAACACAGGGTTTCATGGCAAAAAAACAGGGAGTCATAGCAACTAGAAAAACAACAAGGGTTAACAATGCGGGTGTCCGTCCCGGGCCACCCGTCCCTGGTCTCCCTTGGGGCATGCTCGCATTATGGTGTCGCTGGATTGGGCCGCATTTGGGGTCATCAGGTCAAGGCCGTGATTGCGAGTCGCATAGCCCGTGGATCACGTGAAACTTCCGAATCAACCTATTGACACACAGCTAAATAGCACAGTCATTTTAGCACTGATTGATGGGTGTTACCCCCTTTCTGATGTGCCATTCTTGTAATGGTTGGATCACTTTGTGTGTTTTTATGTTTGTGTGTGTGTGTGCGTGCGTGCGTGTGTGTGTGCTTATGTGCACGTGTGCACATGGGTGCGTGCATGAATGGGTGCGTGGACGTGCATTTTTGTCCATACTAGATGAAAAAGTTTGGCAAAAAGGCCGGTTTGAAATCCACGAAAAGCAGCCACTCAGCCGTGAGCGGTGGTGCCCCATCACCAACCAGTCCTGGCATGGATATGGATGATGAATTCGATCCCAGTGATACCGAGTATGATATGGTAAGCCAAGCAGGATCCTGTTGTTTACACGGACATGCTTACCTCTGTGGTGTTCTAAGGCATGCTGAAAGAGGGCAAAACGGGAACTGATTGTAACTGCCGGTCTCATGCTGGACGACATCCCGTTGACCACACGGTGCCCTGTTGTGCTGTTTTTGATAGGTTTTCTAGTTTGTAGGAAAGCTCTGTCTGCTACACACTATATTAAGTTTATTTATCACGGTGAGAAAGAACTAGAGAGAGATAGGTGTGTGAGGGAGAAAGGAAGAGTCGTAAAGAGAAAAAGAAAAAGCTAGAAAGTATGGGTGGCAGGGTAATAATAATTCGCCACATTGACGCAGAGTAATGTTGAATTTACTGCAAGATGGCTTTCTGTACTCGTGACTGGTTGGATCAATGGCACTCTTCTTCTCTGTGTCCATGGTGTGTGATGATGACGGTGGCTGGCCTCATGCTTCCTGTAATTCGATTGCACGCCATGCCCATGACCATGCCGCTGCCACCACTGGCATCCCTGCTGCTTCCGACGGCAGATAGTAAGAAACCGCTGCACTTCTCGTTCACATTCTGTCACCTCTGATGGATAGCCAGAGCACGTTGTTTGACTGTGCACGTTGCCTCTGTCACTTGCACTCGCAGCTTTTCTCCCTGCTAGTAGTCGTAGATCTGCAGGACAGTCTTGAACAATCTTGGCATTGCAAATGTTTTTGATTAAATTTTAATTGCATATCAGTTGTGGTTGACAAGGACATGCATTTAGCTGCTGGCCAAGGTAGGAGTTAGCAGGCTAGATTAGTAGTGAGTCACGCAGTGGGGAGACAGGGATATATAACGCACTAATTATGGACTGTGAGCATATTCAGGAGGTTTCTCAGTGGCACAACTTTGTCAACGTCAATTATATAAGTGCATGGTTGTTTTTAACAGCCATTGTTAGTCTTAATACCAAAGTATGTTGATACTGAAGAACTCTGACTTTAGTGTATCGTTATTTTGTTGAACATAATCAGTCAACACTAACGACTAATGACTAATCTCTTCCAAGTTCCAACGTATACACAATGCTGGTAGTGTCGGCGTAAAGTGATAATGGGTGAGATCAAAAGTGTTAACGTACAAATAAATTGCAGTGGACGCTCCGAGGCCCCCCCCCCCCCTGGTTTCAGAAGGGCGTTCGATCTCTGTCTCCTGCACTGCTTAGTAGCTATCCAGCTAGGATTGATACGGCAACATGCAATGCGTGCCTAAAGCTCGAAACTGCTAAATACTCCATAAACTAAAACTATGTTCATAGTGAGCGATGCTGGTACAGAAAAACATCTAGTCAAGTTCTATTTGTATAATAACTAATTATTCACTGCCCGATGGAAGCAGCCACTATTTAGGCATTAGCCAACTATAAACCGAATATGTTTTCCTTGTTTCGCAAATGAAGTATATCATTCTAAGCCGTCCTAACCAATTTGATAATCTTTAGGAACATAAACGGTGACATGGTATTTTGAAAAAGACGCCATTTCCGTCCAGACCCATTCTGCACTTGTAGAGTAAAAGACCTCAAGTTCAACTTCTGCCATAATCTGTTCAGGACTGTTCAATGATATTAGTAATACATGTACCTGTCATGTCTGTCATCCACATGCACCCTCCTGAAGAGGCATTGATCCTTGGTAGGGGATACTTACTTTGTTTCAGATTACATCAGGGGACAGGAGTTTCTTGCTCAGTGCTCAGTGGTCATGGCACTCTTCAAGATACAGACTGCACATGGTGTTTGGGGCTTTGTCCTGTCTTATTGCATTCGCAGCCCGAATCTCACGCCGGAGTCGAGGACGAACCCTGGTACCACGGGGAGATCAGCCGGCAAGAAGCGTCGGGTCTGCTGAAGAAGCTTGGCGACTTCCTCGTGCGCTACAGTGCGGAGAAGGAGCACTACACGCTAAGTGTCAAGATGGACTCGATAAGACACTTCATTATCCAGCACAATGATGAGGTAGGATATCATAGCCAGCGCCAGCACCAGCACTACAATTCATGTTAGAAGGAAGTACAGTGAAGCATGTGTAGGACGACCGCTCAAGGGACCTTCGAAACGTGATATCTGTTAACAGCTGGTGTCCTTATCCAGGGTAATTTGACTGGAAATAGCATCCCTCGGTCCTGGTTACAGTGGTCGACAGGTGGTCGCCATATCCGAGCGGTCGCCATGACAAGTTTTACTGTATGTTATCCTTCCATATTTGGACTCGGATACTGAGCCAATAAATAATTCAAATAGAAGAAATCCCGTAGAAACGAGTTATGAAGCATATGCAACTGCTTATTATCTTGTCACAGTCGTGGATAGTTGCTTCATATTAAACTCGTTTCCATGTGATTTCTTCTATTCCATATTTTGAATTATTATTTTCGTAAGTCTGGATGCTAGGGATGATGGGTGACAAAATGGCTGCCTAGAAGGGGGGGAAGGTATTGACTATGGATGATTCCAGGATAAGAAAATTCAGGCAAGATTTAGTAACATCAGGGTTGAAGCCGGAGATAAACGGAGGGAGAGGTAGAGGGACGGGGAGGGAGAGAGAGAGAGAGAGTGTGTGAGTAAGCACTTACTTCACTACTGCCACACTTTCGGTATTTAGTGTGTGGATTGGATTTGATATGTGGTCATTAATACAGAATTTTCTCTGATTGTTCCTCTGTTGCCAGGGATTTCGGTTTGAAAGTGATGCATTTGCATCCATTCCTCTACTCATCGATCACTACGTGAGGAATCGCCTGGCTGTGACGCAGAAGTCGCAAGCCACCCTAAAGCAGCCAGTGAAGAAACCGGACCTGCGCGAGTACGAGATACGACATGACAATGTGGTGATTGGGAAAAAGATTGGCAAGGTGTGTACCCTGCTGTGGATGAATGGCCTTCAAGTGTGCATGGTGTCATCTTGGGGGGGGGGGGGGGGTACAAAAGTTGTACAAAGCTTTGTGTAATTCATTGATATACTGCAGGACCATTTCAAGCCGGTACAAGAGGCCGGTCCGGTTGGTCTGGCCAAGGCCGTACCAACATTTTGGCCACCAACGTGTTTTTGCTGCTGGGGAGGTCATGTGTACACCCTCCATATCATACACAAACTGTATGAAAGGCTAGGGTATACCCTCCATATCATACACAAACTGTATGAAAGGCTAGGGTATGGCCGGGCCAATTGAAAACTGCTTCTGCCAGTGGTGTACTGGAGAGCCGGTAGATACAGGTGAAACCTGGTTTCGGCGGCCACGCACGGTTCCAGCCCAAAGTGGTCTTATAAACAGGTGGTCTTTCAGAGCAGGTGATCTCCCTATGTGGTGATATTGGTATCAAATGAATCCTCGCACTGCATGCTGTGCATTGGTGAGGTGCATAACTTGAAGGGGGAGTGATATAGTGAAGTATTGATACATGTACATCACTACACAGCACTGTACTACATGTACATGTGTACATGTACATGTATATGGTGGCACTGAGAGACAGCACAAGAAACCAGAACCAGAGAGAAGCTGTACGTTGTTGTTGTTTATTTGAATTCGAGAGACCATACAGCTAAGTAAGGTACAAAAAAAGCCCAACCTTGCCCTGCCAGTTCTTGGACTTAGGCGGGTCGCCATGGCAAAAACTTCGCAAAACTTCGCAAAACGATTTTCAGATCGAGTACTGAAGACGTGAAGTGGTCGTTGAACTGGCGATCGGTACCAGTTGTAAGCCGGTCGCTAGTCGCGTCGAGCGAGTGGTCGCTGAATGCGAGTCAGAATGTACGTGAAACGGACGGTGCCAGACAAATACGGTCGTCCACAGCAGGTGGTCGCCGAGTCCAGGTGGTCTTTGGAGCAGGTTTTACCTGTATAAGGATTTGATGGCTACTGCTCCCTGCTATCACCATTGTAACGACTCTCTCGTGAGCTGTGAATTTTTATGTGGAGTGTAGACACCCTCCAAGCTAATGAAAGTAGAGTTGGCCTATACTGGCTATAGAGAGGGTCCCTGGTTCGAGTCCTGGTGGTGACAATCAATTTCTCTTCAGTCTTTTCCCTTTTCAATCTCCCTGACTGATGAACATTTAAGGACTTTTCAAGTGCTTTTCCACCTGTGTTCTTTTGGTTTTGTGCAGGGCAACTTTGGTGATGTGTTCAAAGGATATCTGACAACGCATAACATTGAAGTAGCCGTGAAGAGCTGCCGCTCCGAAGATTTCCCTGACAAGCAGAAGTTCCTGCGGGAGGCTGAGATTCTGAAGCAGTACCGACATCCCAACATCGTTGAACTGATTGGCGTGTGCGCGGACAAGGAACCTCTTTACATTATCATGGAACTAATGCCCAATGGAAACTTCCTGGAGTTTTTACGATCTGCCGAGGGAAAGTAAGTACAAAAGCACAAAAATGTTACTTGGTCTGCCCAGTTACAATTGGCGCTTATCTTCACACTTGTCTCGGGAAGGAAATACGAATATTTGAAGCAAGCCTTGATCACAAAGCACTATGTACATGATTATTTACATGTCAGTAAGCAACCCAGTCAAAATTCAAGCAAGTTACACATCCTCCTCGCCACTATCGTCGCTGGAGGAAGAGCTCAAAACGTTCGATCCGGACAGCTGCTGCACGTTTCATAGCTTGTTCCACTTCTCCTAGTCTCGAATCATGCTCAAAGGTAGTGCGTGCCTGTCACCTTGCCGATCAGAAGCTGAGTGAGACTGCTCGCATGTTGGCTCTAAGTGTTATCCCCGTTCGTCGCAATAATGCGACTGTGTTTGAGACAAAAAGACAACGCCATATCAGTGTCCTTTTTTTCAAATCGCCTCTTGCATTTGTCTTACTTGCTGATCAGCACCCACGCGAGCCGCTGGTGCTTGTACATGCAGCGCAGTGATAGCTTCCGCTTGATGTAGCACCTGTGCGTACTGCACCTAAGTCCTAACGCCGTGCACCAGGCTTTTCGGCTAGTTTCCTGAAAGTCCTTTGCACGAGTGTTTCCCTCAGGACTTGGTGTTTGTTTTGATTAGCTCCTTTTCCCTGTCCTCTGTGAGCTTCAAAAGTGTGTCCGCCGGATTGGTCTCACTTTCTGGAGATGTCGACATGAGCTGCAGTTTCTTCGTCAGCGATTTGCTGGTTATAGCCCTTCACTAGGCGCTGTACTGTGCAAGCACTGAAATTCAAGCTCGCGAAGCGCATTTTCAGCTTTTCTATACCTCCCCGGGGTAAACAATCCTTGCCATCAGACAGCTGGAAGTAGACAGAAACTGTATTCTCCTTCGCTCTGAAATGCGAACATTCTGACCTATTTTACGGGCTCGAGCGGAGGTTGGAGTGTTTTCTTGCGCTTTTTTATTTTTTATTTTTTTATGCTGCCATGTCCAGGGCCTGCTCTAGACATTCAACACAGCCCGGTCAGAGTGTACCTGGCGCATGCAGGCCAGCCGGGTCAAGCCGGGTCAGATCATCTGGCAGAAAAACAACCAAAAAGCCTGCTCAAAACGCAGGGAAACAGAAAGGCGAATTTATTACCGGAAATCGAAAATTTTAGAGAACAAGGCGAACTATCAAAGTCCGCAAATGTAGAAGGTAAACGACATTACGTGAAGAATGCAAAGCAGTTCCATTGGATTCTGATTTAACAATTTGAAAAAAAGGAACTCTGTTTTCTAATTAGTGCTAGTAGCAGGACGAACATGTTCACATAATAGAGCACTGGGGGTGCCTGCAGCACCTTGTGGAGTGGCTGCTTGCTGCCACTGCATCACCTGCATGGCCAAACCAACTGGCATCTGCTGCACCATCTGCTGAAAGGCTTCAGCAGACTGGAGAACTGGTGGAGTTGCAACTGCTGCTGCTGCTCCTGCTGCTGGCGCTGCTGCTGCTGGCGCTGGCGCTGCTGCTGCTGCTGGCGCTGCTGTTGCTGCTGGCGCTGTTGCTGCTGCTGGCATTGCTGGCATTGCTGCTGCTGTTGGCGTTGCTGCTGCCGCTGCTGCTCTGGGTGTGCGGGCCAGGTCCCTCCGTTCAGACGAGGTTGAGGTTGCAGTCCTAGTGCACCGAGTCACCTCAGAATGCCATGCAGCCATAGCCTTGTCGTAGTTGAAGTCGGCGACGACAGGAACATCGAGCTTGATTGCCATGATCATCTCCAGAATCCTCGTCGACAGCGAGTTCCGCATCGCCGTCTTCACAAGCTTCAGCAAGCTGAAGTCTCGCTCGCATTCAGCAGTGGACAGGCAAACGGCCAATCCCCAGTCAGCGATGTGCGCCAGGTTCGGGTAGTCTCCAGCATGTTGCTCGGCGAGAAGCTCGAACATCTGCGGGACGCCTTTCGAGGCCCGAAGGTTCGGGTGGGTGAGACTTAACGATTAATTGAGCGGATGTTGAAAGCTAGAGTGGAGCCGAGCAGCATGCCGATAATTCGAAGCAGTGGGTTCTTACCTTTCAACCACGCATCGCGACCAAATCCACCGCCGCTCGTCTTCCTTTGGAAATGCGTCTTGCACAAAGCGCATGACATGGATAGACTGGCATGGTCGTAGTCCAGCCAGGGTCGACCTTTCTTCCAAGAGTCTTGGAAAGCGTGAGTTCTTTTTCTCTTCGCTGCGGGCTCCATCGTCCAAATCACCAGTCGGCTGAAAACTTGCAACTGTGTCAAAGCTATAGCCAAAGTTACGCTTTTGACTGCCTGCCCCATCGACTTTGAATGTCCTGACTTCCTGCTCGCCGCTGGCCAGATCGCGCTCGAACCAGTTGACCCCAGTTGACCCTAGCCGAGTTTCTGTCGCTTGTAGACTGTAGTGTGCACGGTTGCGCTAGATTTGCAACAGATGGGGTCCGCGAGTCGTAAAATACCGGTATTTTAGGAATCCATTGTCAGTTTGAGACATTTTTCAGCCGGGTCAGAGTGGACCCTGTGTTATCTGTTCAGCCAGGTCGTGCAGTTCCCCAGCCGGGCGCGTGACCCGGCTGACCCGGCTCTCCAGCAGGCCCTGATGTCGTCGGATGCAATGGTCAATGGTTATGTTCCGATGGTGAATCGGTGGTTCCATGCCGTGTGACACAGGCAGAACACCGAAAAACCAAGTGAGAAGATAAGCGCCAATTTTAACTTGGCGGAACAAGTATGAGTTATGACGAACTATCCACCAATGTAACCAGATCATATACAGTCAGCGAGTGCGACAATGTCTCAGTACGCCTTGTCAATCTTGTGCCACGTTGTCGCACACGCTGACTGCATACGATCTGGTTAAGTTGGTGGACAGTTAGTCAAAACTCGAAACATTTTTGTCCTTCTCCCTTTTTACTGAAATTGTTTATGTGAGCTTTTTTAAAGTGTACTCAAACTATTCCAGACTGGGGATGTTGCGAGCAATCAACTTTCAAGGAAATCTGAAAGTTGGTTGGGAGCCACATCCGAGCGCCCGCTCTTTCCACCGACTTGACTTGCTGCTTGCCTGGTTTTAGACTGCCAACCATAGTACACGAAAGTTCATCGAAGAAACCTGCTCACATTACTTTGATCTCAACTGTGTTAGTCTAGCCAACTATAATTTCTGACAGTGCTTAGGCTAACTGCTTCTGGCGTGGAAACACGTTAGAGATTAAGTTGAATGCGCAATCCGCTGTGTTGCTTATGACCTTGTTAATATGATCACATCTGCTTTTCATTGGGTTGAGGGAAAGGAGGCAAACGGGAAAAGTCTGAAGAAAAAATTGACTGTCACCACCAGGACACGAAGCAGGGAGCCTCGCTTATGGCCAGCGATATCTGCTCTTCTGTGGTGTTTACCAGGCGTCTGAAGGTGAGCCAGCTATCGGAGATGTGCGTGGATGCCGCGGCAGGCATGGTGTTCCTGGAGCAGCGCAACTGCATACATCGCGACCTGGCTGCCCGCAACTGCCTGGTCGGCGATGGCAACATAGTGAAGATATCCGACTTTGGCATGAGCAGAGAGGAAGATGATGGTATTTACACCGTGTCGTCTGGACTCAAACAGATCCCCATCAAATGGACGTCGCCCGAGGTCAGTAATACACACAGGCTATGCAATGGTATGGCTCGTGCAGTCATGTATTTCTCCTTGTCTATTCGTGTGTGTGGGGGTTAGCCACAGCGACATAAAAACGTTATCCATGTCCAGTGACTCGTGACTTTGGCTATTGTACCTGCTACCTGCATGTGAAGCCTACATTGAAGATCTTTGTTTGTACATTCACCATCAGTATGCTTATGCAGTGCATACATGTCCTCAAGATGTTTGTTTGTTTGTGTGTGTGTGTGTGTGTGTGTGTGTGTGTGTGTGTGTGTGTGTGTGTGTGTGTGTGCATGTGTGCGTGCGTGCGTGTGTGTGTGTGTGTGTATGTGTGTGCGTGTGTGCGTGTGTGTGTGTGTGTGTGTGTGCGTGTGCATATGTTTGTACTTGTGTGTGTGCATCATGTGACGACGATGCAGGCACTCAACTATGGCCGATACACGACGCAATCAGACGTATGGAGCTACGGCATATTGCTATGGGAAACGTATACCTATGGCAGTGGTCCATACCCATGTTAGTCAGCATCTGATAAAGTTTTCCTGTAGCATAGCTTGTTGTAGGGGTGAAAGTTTGCAGTGAAATCCCGAGTGTGAGTGATCTGATTTTCTTTGATCAAAGATGCAAGTATGTGTTCATGCCTTCAAGCCCTACGGGTACGATTGACAGAGAATGCCTGAAACTGGATACACGCCCGAACGGCACAGAATAGGGAGGTGTGTTGTGCAAACCATGAGTACTGTGTGTACGTGTGTATGTGTGTGCGTCTGTGTGTGTATGTTTGAGTGTGTGTGTGTGTGTGTGCGTCTGTGTGTGTATGACTTTGTGTGTCTCTGTGCGTGTCTCTATGTGTGCATACACACGTGTGTGCGTGTGCGTGTGTGTGTGTGTGTGTGTGTGTTTGTGTGTGTGTGTGCATGTGCACGTGATGGCATGTCTATGTGTGCATGTGTTTGAGTGCATGTGTGCGTGTGTAACATCTTGAAAACTGACTCGATCCCATAACCATTCTTCTTCTTTTTTTGTCTTTTTCTTGCTATAGCTATGCAGAACCGTGAGACACGTGAAAAGATTGAAAGTGGCTATCGTATGCCCAAGCCAGACCTTTGTCCTCCAGCTGTCTACAAACTGATGCTTGCGTGCTGGGAATACGACCCGGATAGCCGGCCGTCATTTGCGGAAATCTACGACAGGCTGTACCAAATCTCTCACTGACCTCGTCCTGGCAGCAGAGTGTGTATGTGTGTGCACATGCGTGGATGTGTGGGTATGTGTGTGTATGCGCGTGTGTTTTTGTGTGCATGTGTGTACGTTTGTGTGTGTGTGTGTGTGTTTGTGTGTGTGTATGTGTGTGTGCGCGCACGTGCGTATGTGCGTGTGTGTGTACATTGGTTAAACTGTTCCGTGAGTACCTGATTGTACCGATGCACTTGGAAAACAGTGGCGGCGGTGTTTTCTTCTATATTCACGTTGCTGCTTCAAACATACCCTCAGTCGTGGTGCACCTTGGCCTCTCTCCCTGCGTCACGTGTTGTTGTCTGCAGGGTATTTATCTACACAGATCAGAACTGCCATCGTAGTTCGTTTCGAATCGTTGCTCACCTGTCACCCCTCCTTAGAACGTGTGTTCAATTCAGTAGCCGAGTAGTTATACTGCTATTCTTTCCAGTGCATGCCGCGCGTATGTGCTCTGGCATAAATACAGATTTTGCTGATGATGGCTTCTGTGGTCGTTCTCATGCGCTTTGGTGTACTCTTGAGCAGCTCTGGCTGGATATGTCAGCGTGCACGTGCATGTACGGTGCACTGTTTTTGTCTCCCCGGCAGTCTGACTCAGCTGTGCCTTTCGGAAACCGAGCCGCGTAAGCTCTTTACAGCGTACTCGACGTGCACAGCGTGTGAAGACAGTATTCGTATTCCATGTAGACATCCGTCGTCTGTACGCTTCTGGCTGTCTGTACACCTATAGCTGGTTGTTATATACGCATTGCCTATATTTTATGCCGCCCTCTACCCCAGCCCCTTCCCCTACATGTTTGAGACCATAATTTTCTGTTGTTGCATGCCGGGGGATACAGCGTTTGCTTTCTACTTTCCTTGGCCATGTGTACCTGCTTCATGCGCTCAAAACCAGACATAGCAATGCCGCCGGCACTCCTTTACTGCTAGCACAGTTTTATTCATTTCTTCTTGATTGACCTCACGGAGGCTTGCCTCCTAAGATAACGCTGTCTTAGTACTAGTAGGCTAAGTCAGTTGCTTATACCGTAATACGCCTGGCTTGACGCAAGTACTCTAATTTCAGAAATTTTCGGTGCTCAATATTTTCGGTATGAGGGCAACAGGCTAGGTTAGGCGAACAGAAATTTTCGGTACAGAGAAGCAGGTCGCTGTTGGAGTATGTGTGTTAGTGTTTGTTCAGTGTATTGAAATTTTAGGTGTGAAACAGACGCACCGAAAGTACCGAAAATAAAAGTACACCGAAAATTTGTGAAATTACAGTAACACCCATCTAGGACTCAGTAGTGACCATGGTGACTGTAGTGGCTACTTTGGTGTGCGTGTGAAACATTCCAAGCCAAGTTACGAGTTTTCTGAGTCTACCCATGTTGCACAGGGGGGGGGGGGGGGGGATATGTTCTCGTTTTAAGTATTTACTTGCTTTAGTGGGAGACCGTGAATTGTCACAATGTGTGTGTACTGCATGCTATCGGCCAATCAAGCTACATTTAGACACAGCGTATCTCGGTAGGTCACTGAGGGCGAATAGAGACCAGCTTTTTTCTGTCGGCGTGTAAAATGAATGTCCATAATGTACATGACTGTACTACCGTTTGCTATCTGACCTCATCAGGCTCATGTCTATCTTTTAAATTTATATATACTCTGACATGAGGTCAAGATAATAATATTATTCAATAAACCACCCTTTCAGGTGATCTACAGATATTTCCCCTCGTTTGACTGTCCCCGCGGGAATTTGCGGAAAAAACTCCCGAAACCTTGCGCAAGAAATTGCGGCAGAAAGTAACAAAAAATGCGACGAAATGTGCGGAATGATGCAGAACTTGCCAGGAATTCACGGAATTATTTGCAGAAAATTGCGGATTTGAGCCAAATCAGGAAATTTGATGCATCGTATATCTACTGTGCAAATAACCTACAGGATCATGGAAAGAACTAACTGCGTGAAAAGTGCATAACAATGTGAGATGTAGTGCAACAAAAAAACGCGGGAAATGGCGGATTTTGCTGAAAATCGCGGGTTTGGGCCAAAATCGCGAAATTTGTTGCATCCGTGGAATCGCGATTTCCTGGAGGGACAGGTTTGAGGGGATTATGGCTCATAATCCCCTCAAACGAGGGGAAATGATATCCGAAGGAAATCCTCTGGATCACCTCGGACCCAGTCCTTCTACCAAGAGAGCTAGCTCCCTTGGCTGCTGCTTGAATATGCAAGAATGGGCTTTCCAGATAAGGTCTACTCTAGGCTAGCACGGAGAAGTGCATGGATAGTTGTCAAAAGAAAAATATGTCCGTTCATGTTCCTCTGTACACAGTGGAGTCCTCGTTGTTATCGATGATTGTGCTCTAGCTCTATGCTGGGAGGGCGGCTCAGCCGAACAGCTTGCATATTCCGACCATGCTAAGGAAGTAGGGGTGAAACGGTTCGGGTAAGGAACCGGTTTTGGAACCGTCAGCTGAAAAGAATCGGGTACCCGTTCCGTCAAATTTCGAACCGAAACTCGAAAAATCTCGTTCTCGTACAAATACATGTACACGCCAAGTCTACTCAAGATTTTAAAATGTCTTACCTTACGATCACCGCCCTTCCAAAGGGTTCTCCTATCGATCCTGGTCACTACGAGCGTACCTTCTTCGCACATGGACTCTCCGCGATGTCTCGTTCTTGCTCGTAAAAATGTTTTCTAACTTGAAAATAATTGTCACGGACACATTTGGTCGGTCTGGAGAAAAGAGTGCATGGAACCGATACCCGAACCGTGGGAAACTATGCTGGCATTCGGGTACCCGAACATGAAAAACATGGAACCGTTTCACCCCTATAAGTATAAGGAAGCCAGCAGAGTGGAGGTGTCCCTACTGTGCATGCCGCAATGCCTCTCGAAATGCCCATGCACTATGTCACGTATGTGCACACTGTGCGCAGCCTTTGTGTGAACTGCGACTCCATACTAGTGTCGGAGTAGTGGTTCGAGTTGGAGTTGAGAGGTAGCCGACTGTTACTACTGTCTGAGGACTGTGTTGCACAGTGTGCAATGGTGTGCGGGTCCACTTGGTCTCGAATGCAACACCAAGTGCAACGTCAACGTCGAACCCGAACGGACCGAAGTAACAAGTAATAGTTAGTTGTTGGTGAAAGATATTGCTCGTCAACACTGCGATAATCCGCTCGGAGTAACTACGGACTAGTGAAGTCCTCGCCGAGAATGGTGATCTGGTGATAGCGATACTTGGCATACGTTCGTTCGAACTTCCTTCTCAAGTACTACTACTAGTACTAGTACTAGCATGTCCTGTACATGTAGTGTTCAGGTGTTGGTCTTGTCAACCCGGAAAGTTCTTGCAACGATCTGTCGAGGCAAACCGATACCAAGGAAGGTAAACCAGCCGTCGTCTGTTACACACAATGATTGTACATAATTTTGAGTGTCATGTAGTTGGCTTGTGAAGGTTTGCGAGGAGTCCAAAGAATGCCCTGCTGGCTTCTCGTGGCCAGTCCGCACTCTCATGTCGTCTTGCTTGCGAAGCAGTGCAGTACTCAGAGGCAGTAGTGTGTAGCAATGCACTAGTGTGCCGCTTTCGAAAATGCTCGGGCCTGACGCTATTTTTGTTTGGTGTCCTTCTTGCTCGGGTGCAGATGGCGGCGGTGACTCGATGGATCATGGGGGTGGCAGTATGTGCCGTACTGCTTTGCGGAGAAGCGACAGCGCAAACACACATAAGTCGGTGCCCGAGCCTTACACCAATGTCACCAACGACAACGCCCGGTAAGATGACAAAACGTGTAGAGCGTTGAAGCGGTTCTTTGCTCCCAATACTTTCAACACACAGTACTCAGTATCTGTACCGGTATGTCTGTAAGACAGCAGATACTTCGGCGCATATTTATTTTCGGCTATTCTCGGCCGAAAATTTGTTTTGCAAGTACAGTCGTCCCTCTCTAATCCGGCACTTTATAATCCAGCACCCTCGATAAACCAGCACAATTTTCAGTAGCCAAAATGTCCTCTTCATGCACATTGCAGCAGTAAATCAGATTTGTTAATCCAGCACCCTCCCTAATCCAGCAGATTTTCGTGGCACAAATGGTGCCGGATTATAGAGGGACCACTGTAATAGTTTCAGTGGGGCAGTGTATGTAGGACTCAGTATAGAGTCCATGCACTATATGATGTCCAGCACCCTATATAGAGTCCATTGGTCCAAATCCACTATACAGAGTCCAGGAGTCCACTCAGTTTTGATCAGCTTCATCCTGCCGCGCAATCCCCTATAAGGAGTACACATTTTCTACAAGTCCCCTATTCACAGTCCAGGAGTCCAGTTTATCCAGTCACGCCGTCCTGTGTACGTGTGTACGTGTTGTGCCCGAAAGAGAACAAGCACATTTTCAGTTTTGCTTGCCTCGTGGCAGCGCATTCCTTTCTTCACTTCAGCCATGGCTAGCTGCCAGTTCCGCTGTGCAGTTGCTGACAGTAATCTGTCTCGAGATAACCAAGGAGGATAAGGAGACGTTCAAAATCAAATCTGGAAAGCGTCTTGTGGTTCTCTGAAGACGTTTCATCAGTGCGCGGGATGAAAGCAGAAATTGCAGAACGAGAAAAGTTCAGCACAGTTCAAATCTGACGAGTCAGGTACACTGACACTCTCTTTCGTTCGACGCCACAAGGATTCCCTGTTTGGCTGGCCATTGCTGCCAGTAAGACGTTTGAACGGTTTCATCAGAGCGAGGGATGAAAGCAGAAACGGCGAAAGAGAAATGTTCAGCACAGTTCCAATTTGACGAGTCCGAGATACACTGACACTCTCTTTCGTTCGACGCCACAAGGATACCCCTGTTTGTCTGGACAAGAGCTGCCTGTACCACCGTGTCAAAAGGCTGTCCAACTACATGGCAGGACGAAGACTGAGGTAAGGAAGCTTTTACTCGTTTCGATTGGTCTGCTGTTCTGTCGTTATGCTTGAATTTTTTTTCCATTTTCAAGGAGCGTATCGCGTTTGTTTGATGTTGCTTGAATGAATGCCCTAAAAGTAATCAACCACTTCGTAATAGTCCTCAAGGACTGCAAGGACTTTGCATCAATCGTATACGATCGTCTAGCTATCATCAATTATTATAATTATTTCATGAGAAATGTATTTTTATCCCTGTGATAATTATGTGAAACTCCACGACACTCTTCCTCTAGTATGATGTCAAATACAATGGGATCCACAAACGCAGTGCCAGTGTACTAGTAGTAGTAGGAGGATTGCTTGTTTGCCAATGACAAGAAAAAGCTTCTCAAGCTAATACTTGTATTCCCTGAAGTAACCGTTTTGATGTCACGAACATGACATTGTGATGTTGGTGTGTCTGTGCGTCTTGAGTGCGCACAAACGATCTTATTCCTCGTATTACTAATAGATTATTGTCCCCACCGTCACCTGTTCACAGGTCTTTGAGTGGATTGATTTTCATTGAGCATCACATTCGTTGAGAACTTGGTTGTTGTGTGCTCCCATGCATCATTACGGTAATAAGCGTATCCGTGTGCTGTCTATTTGTTGCAGGTGTGCTGATCTTCAGAAGCTTGCGGAACTGAGTGCTGCTGAACATTTGCATGGCCATGAGCAAGGGTGAAGCTTGCTATTGCACTCTCAGCATGTGCTAGTATTATGCTGACCACTGCACTATGTTACTCTCTTACACTACTACGTGTATGTAAACGTGCGTGTACCCGTCCCTGTATGCATTCGTTTCGTATAATTATTTGTTATCCCTCTTGACTTTACGTGTAAATGGGTGGACGTTTGTATGGCTGTTGGAGTTGCGCGTGTATTGTGTCTCTACTCTTTTCTTGGTGTTTTCTTGGCGTTGTGTAAGTTTGTGTGTGTGTGTGTGTGTGTGTGTGTGTGCGCGCGCGCAATAATTTGAAAACAAATAATTAATCCTGGGCTCTCCATTATTCTATTTCGATTCTTGTTTTTTTCTAGGTATTTTCTTGGCGTTGTGTGGGTGTGTGCATGTGTGTGTGCGTGCACAATAATTTGGCAACACTACATGATTGAGATATTTTAATTTGCAGCGTCTGCGAAGAGACCACTTGATTTGAGGATGGTGTTTGTAGGCTTTTTCATGTAATGAAGTGGCTGCAGCGGCGCCTCAATACATATTTTTTTCTTGAGAAGTGAATGATGTAAAGGATTAAAGGGAGAGGCCGTTTTCTGGTTAATATTCACTGCTTACAGCAGATCCTATGTCTAATTTCGAACTCGTTAGGGGATGCTTGCTTAATTGGCTGGACTTTATACAGAGTGTTGTCCACATAAAGAATCTTTAATCTTTATAGTTGATTTCAAAGTTTGGACTCCGTACAGTTGATTTTGGACCAATGGACTCTATATAGGGGTGAAGCCAATTGGCTGGACTCTATACAGGGAGTGATGTCCATCTAAACTTTGAGCTCACAGTTGATTCCAAGTTTGGACTCTGTACAGTGGATTTTGGACCAATGGACTCTATATAGGGGTTGGACATCATATAGGGGCTGGACGCTCTACTGAGTCCAACATGTATACTGGCCGCATGAGTACAGAATGAAGTCGAAGACACCACTGCAGCTGTACTTATGGTTGATAAATATGGTGGTAAAGACACACCTGGCAATATGGCGGTAAACACACGCCTGCCCACACACGCTCTCTAGGCTGCAAAGTTCTGGCACAGAGCTCTCCTTCTCACCACCACCACCATCAGTTCGCGCCTGGCGCCTGGTCGATGCATGGCTGGCGGTATCCGGCATAGCAGGCTGGTACATCAAGTAGCGCATGGCACATAGATGATGACACAGCAACGACATAGCTCGATTGCGACGTACGTTTCGTCCCCGCTGGACTCATCAGGCAATCTTCTTCTTGGATGTCTTCATACGGAGCTTGACTCGGGAGAATGAAGTCGAAGACACCACTGCAGCTGTACTTATGGTTGATAAATATGGTGGTAAAGACACACCTGGCAATATGGCGGTAAACACACGCCTGCCCACACACGCTCTCTAGGCTGCAAAGTTCTGGCACAGAGCTCGCCTTCTCACCACCACCACCATCAGTTCGCGCCTGGCGCCTGGTCGATGCATGCACCAGGCGCGAACTGATGGTGGTGGTGGTGAGAAGGAGAGCTCTGTGCCAGAACTTTGCAGCCTAGAGAGCGTGTGTGGGCAGGCGTGTGTTTACCGCCATATTGCCAGGTGTGTCTTTACCACCATATTTATCAACCATAAGTACAGCTGCAGTGGTGTCTTCGACTTCATTCTCCCGAGTCAAGCTCCGTATGAAGACATCCAAGAAGAAGATTGCCTGATGAGTCCAGCGGGGACGAAACGTACGTCGCAATCGAGCTATGTCGTTGCTGTGTCATCATCTATGTGCCATGCGCTACTTGATGTACCAGCCTGCTATGCCGGATACCGCCAGCCATGCATCGACCAGGCGCCAGGCGCGAACTGATGGTGGTGGTGGTGAGAAGGAGAGCTCTGTGCCAGAACTTTGCAGCCTAGAGAGCGTGTGTGGGCAGGCGTGTGTTTACCGCCATATTGCCAGGTGTGTCTTAACCACCATATTTATCAACCGCAGGAGTACAGGCCGAACATTTGATGCTGCCGAAATGGGTTTTAGCCCTGGAGGCTTCAACTAACTTTCACACCAAGGTTCAACTCCAGTGACAGGAACGCTGTAAAAACTGTAGCCTGCAGGCACGGTGACCAGGTGACTGGTGCACACATGAGCACATGACCACTTACTCACCCCTGTTCGATTGAGAATATTAAAGGGCCGAACGCTGCACCGCAGCCTTTTCGGACCAAAACCCGTCGACTCAGCGTCCAAAAGACTACAACATATGGGCCAATCGCGGTCATCCGTGCTTTTATTAGAACGAAGCGCTAGCGGCGCTTTTAGTGACTTTTGCATACAAATCCCCATCTAGTAGGGCGCAGTCACCCAGTTTCGGTGAAAGTGCGCGAGTTCGATTGGGAATAAAGGAGGAAGGGAGCGTCTCAGCTTCCTGGGACCAAGACCATTCGACTCAGCACTCCGAAGATTACAACTGGTGAAATTATTTTGATTTTAGGCTTAACTTCCCCTTCAATTAAAGGGAAACTGAACGCCAAAAATAAGTATGGCTTATCCGGAAGGGAATTGGGCACTGATTCCGATGAGCTATGTCTCGAGCCGATCAGCGAAGAGGAACCGTGTCAAATTTCATATATAACACCTTCCATATTTGGAAATTGGGCTTGATGACGTGCAAATTGCTTAGCTTTTACCATGCTGTGCATGCTCAGCAGTGTAATTGAATAGAAGAAAACAATTACTTTGGTGTTTTGCAGCTCTATTTCGTTCCCTGACGGTAACCAAATCTAGATGTAGGAATCTGTTGAGCAGGAGAGTGACACATGTCTTCCCGAAGGCTGTCCAGGCTGCAGTGATGATGAAGAAGACACGATCATCACCCCGAGATCGATTGTAGCGAATTGGAAAACTCATGGTGAATTTGCTTCCACTCCAAGGCAATGTCGAGGTATGAAGGGTGCTTGTACTGCCTTCCAAAGTGAAGAGGAGACGAACATGGCTTTGCATAGCTGTTGTTCTATGCCAACTTACCTACTCTTGGTGGTACCGTAGTGCTATATTGCAAATTTCGTGGACGAACAACTCTAGTCACTAGTGGCTAGTGAGCAACACTAACAGGTGAGATTTTTCAATTTGACAAAAAATGTTTTTGTTTGAGAACTGACAGTGGCAGTCATTAGACTCAGTAGGTGTCTTTGCTGCTTCTTTCCCTTCATCGGTAGGGTTGTGCTTGAATAGTACAAGTGCTTGAAGTAAAATAAAATAAATTGAACATGTGGAACATAAAATCTAATCAAGCATCAGTACATGTGTTAGAGAACATGCAAAACTCATGTACCTCTCGTCCACCACACAGTTCCAGGACAGACGTCTTCTTTCTCACAACCAACAACCGTAGCACTGGGTTACTACTGACTGATTTTCTATCATGAAACAGAACATTAGTAGGATAATACAATAAGATGATGGGTGAAAACCATAATGCATAGGGCGAGCAGAGATCGGAGATCGTGCAAAATGGTGCAAACAGAACATGGCAAAGCAGGCAAGTCACTTGTCCGAGGTCATCACACAGATGGCAGACAAGGTGCTTCCACCCAACTACTTTGAAGTAAATCTATTGCAATGTTGACATTGCAATGCAACTTCCTTGTGCACAGGCACACTTGGCAGTTTAGATCACGTTCCAACGCCCTAATAATAGAAATCACTAAGGGGGCACAATGCAATCATCGCACAAGCAGCATGTACCATTGCGGTAGTCTGTAACAAGGCCTGACCTCATGCCTCCACATCAACAAACCACACAAAGCTGTTCCTGCTCTAGCAACTAAGCACACACGAAGCAATGCATATGTCACCAACAGCACGATTATACTTCACATGTATTGCGAATTTCAACTTCAAAGGACATGAAATCACAATGATCACAAAGTTTATGGAATCAGGAGGACCATCTGTGTTCAACGAACACATACACACATGCTGTATTGCACACACACATGTACACATGTGCGTGCACCCCCACCCCATCCTACAGACACGCGCGTGCAGCGCGCACATCCATACACATGTGCATGGACCCCCCCCCCCCCCCCGACACACACACACTCCTACCCATACACATGTGCGTAGGACCCCCCCCCCCCCCCACACACACACGTGTGCACAGACGAATACACAAACACACACGCACGAACACACACAAGATACGTGTAGGTGTACATGGTCTTCCTGGTGCAGATACTGGGCCAGCACAATGGAAAATACCTCCATCAAGATGCTTGATCAAGTGTTGTGATAATGGCACTGTTTGTTTGTTTTTACAAAGAAGTATGGGAAGGATTACAATGCGTTATAATTCATAATTGTTCTTTGCCTTGTACTGTGCAGACCAGAATGCTTCACTATCAACTCCTGGCTTTCCATTGGAATGGTGTTCAGCTGCAGCGGCATCTGGTCCAGGGAGTTGCTGGATGGCTGCACTGGCACAGGATGGGTTTGCATTGGTAATGCGATACGGCAGTCATTCCACATCATGAGCTACATGTTTATGTAATTTATATTGTCGCTCGTCCAGCAACGTCAAGGCTCTGCATGTAAACACAGGAGAACACCATAATAAAAAATACTACTCAGGGGGGATAATATTATAATTTTGGATTAGCAATTTCGTGACATTTATGAGTTCCTGTCTAAACCATGCCGTGATATTGATAGCTATCTGCTCACAAAGTAACTTGTATTGTAACAATACTCTGCCTAATCACTACCCTCCGCCAATTATTAGATTCACACAATATTCACAACGTATGCAACACAATGCTGTCTATTGACACTACTTCGAACTGAAATGCTCACTACTCTTCTCCCGTTTTCAATTCCCTCTACCTTATGAATACTCTACATTACTGGTTTCGTTTCTACCCTTTCCATTGCTGCCAGCTCCCAGTCTTTTTCGATGCACAGCACCACCTTGAAATTTTTGTGATTTGATGTACACATACTTTGAAGTTGAAATTCGAACTACATGATCAGATTTTTGTTCCACATTTTCTATTTATTTTTACTTCAAGCACAACCCTACCAATGAAGGGAAAGAAGCAGCAGAGAGACACCTACTGAGTCTAATGACTGCCACTGTCAGTTCTCAAACAAAAACAATTTTTGTCAAATTGAAAAATCTCACCTGTTAGTGTTGCTCACTAGCCACTAGTGACTAGAGTTGTTCGTCCACGAAATTTGCAATATAGCACTACGGTACCACCAAGAGTAGGTAAGTTGGCGTAGAACAACAGCTATGCAAAGCCATGTTCATCTCCTCTTCACTTTGGAAGGCAGTACAAGCACCCTTCATACCTCGACATTGCCTTGGAGTGGAAGCAAATTCACCATGAGTTTTCCAATTCGCTACAATCGATCTCGGGGTGATGATCGTGTCTTCTTCATCACCACTGCAGCCTGGACAGCCTTCGGGAAGACATGTGTCACTCTCCTGCTCAACAGATTCCTACATCTAGATTTGGTTACCGTCAGGGAACGAAATAGAGCTGCAAAACACCAAAGTAATTGTTTTCTTCTATTCAATTACACTGCTGAGCAT